TTCCAAAATAGAAAATATACGAGGACGCTCCAAAAAGGTTCACAAGCCCCGAACAAATTACTTGTCAGCTGACTACCGACTTTCCCATCGAATAATCAACGAGTGGAATTCATTACCTCAGCACGTGGTTGAGGCTCCACCCGTCGACTCCTTCCAGAGAAATTTGGATCAGCTGAGAGACCATCATCGCCAGGACTAACACAGGCCATCAAGCCTCCTGAAACTGAAACCGATTTGTAATTTTTTGGGCGGGGTACTTCTTCGTGCTTTATTATTTTCCATAAATTATGCTTTTTCCACTTAATATCACCCCGAAAATATCTAAATTGTTTAGATTCTTAGTCTAACTACTAATCATTACTTACAAGTAGATTTCCTTACTGCCAAAAAACAGGGATGTCACCATATATTGTTTCACTTTATTGTGGGAACCGTTTATATATATACTGCATAATTAGTGGCAGTCGCTCAAGACACCTATATGGTATATTACAAAGGCATTTTCAGAAATTCCTTACCATGAGGTACAGTTTGTGTTCTGAATGAGCCCATTGTCCCTGCGATCCCTGTTTAACCTCGGTGGACTGTAAGATGTTGATGCCAGACCATTTCAACGGGAACTGACAACTCTCCCAGTGCTTTAGAACTGAAAATAAAAGCTCTCAAAGGTTCTAGTTCAATTCATGGGCACCGTCATTAATAAACGCTCACAGACTTCTTGGTCTCAAAATTCCAAACCGGAAAGATAAGACAACGGAATAGCCATGACCCCCAATGTAGTAATATTTGACCTACAAACTTTACCACTTCAAATCAAGGAGAATAGACACAAAAGTAGACAGACACATGCATTAGGATGATTCATCAAGTAACCTATATCATTGGTAAAAGGAATAGAAACTCCCTTAAAATCTTAAAAGAAGTAAAGCCTCTTTATGTAGGCTATTTCCCTGGTGATAAATCCCCTAAGATTCGCAACTATTTAAAACTAGACTCTTCTGTTACTTCCGTACCTATTTCATATCAGTTTAATCGTCGATCGAGTTACTATCTTTTCAGGACAGGGCACTTCACCTTATCACCACTAACCAGGATTATCCAAGCGACACTAGACATGTGGTATTTGTTCTCAACCACACGATCCGTGAAGCTAAACACAAGGGACCGGAGAAGATTTGTATTCAACATCTAAAACTTGGATAAAGTCGGAATGGATGAACGCCAGAAGACTTATTCGTTATGGCATGACTCGGTCGTTCAAGCGTGGTCAGTCTCACAAGATAATTCAATTACTCACAAACAGCCGTTTAGTACATAAATAATATGAAGAAACCATTTCGAATTTCTAAAGAGATGTAATTATGCGCAGGTTTCAGTGATGTTTAAACAATAGTCGCCACATCTGAACTTGTTCTGCGGCATGTAGAAGAATATTGAGTTAATTTTAAAGGAAGAAAATAGGGAAATAAAAGTGAAATGGGTAAGCAATTTGATAAGCATGTCTATGAAACAGAATGAGAATAAACGGCAATACATGTCTACGAAGTGAATTGGAAATTAATCATCAGTGTAGTAGGACGTAATGGCAGAATAATGATTTATGCAGTAATACTTTAGGGCAATGAGATGAAAGTTTTCTTCCCTATCATATTGGATAAATTATTCTTTTTCCAGCCCAAATGCCTTCTGCAGAAGGCTTAAATGGAATATTGGTAAGTCTAGATAGGATGAGCCGGCATAGACAATGGTGCGACTCCCATCAATTAAGTTGACCAATTAATAATAATAATAATATATTTCTGCATTAGCAGGTACACACCATTTTTACAGGCATGATCTACAATTTACAACATATACTGGTTCACAGTATGCATCCCAAGCAAGCTTGTTTAGTAATTATAATCTATAAAAGTTGATAGCAGTTTATTCGTTCAGATATAATGTGTTTTCATAAGAATAGTTTCCAAAGGGGCATAGCGTCCACGTTATATACCAGATACAATCTCGATAAAAAGTGTAATAGGGTTTCGGTAGTTCTAAGTATTTATGTAATGCAGCTTTTTAAGTTTATAGTTGTTATAAAGTAGGCTTGTGAAGCGCCTGGTCCGAGCTATGACCTTGGGAAAGCGCGTTCGTCAAGCTTGTTCCAGATGTCAGAAGTTACATAGCTTCACCCTCAGAGCAAGATTCTGAAGAGAGAAAAAAAAAGAAAAAGAAACCGAGCAGCAAGGCATTTGGATATGAGCGATAATCAATGCTCAACATTTATTAGTGGAACAGATGGAGGTATGATAAATTATTAGATTAAATTGATACTAGCTCATGTTGCAAGAGTAAACTGCGATTAGGGGCTCCAGAAGAGAGAAGGCAGTAATAAAGAACAATGAGTTGTGATATTTATCAAGGTGGAGTAGGTTCCAATGAAGGAGGGAAGTCAAGGTTGGAATGAGGAAGAACAGAGAGTGCATATAGAGAGTAGTGTTAAGTAAAATAGCAACCATATCCTTTGCAGTCAGTTTTTTTATTTATTTCTTTTCTCATCCGATGCCTGCCACACAGTGTTCATGTAAAAGTCCGAGTTAGCATGTTAAAGGTTGTCTTAGTAGAATAGTTAATCCAGCACAAAAATTAGAAACATGAGTTTTAATGGTGAGTGTAGGTGAACAATCTCAATATCACAGATCTATTGACTTGTTCTCATCCATAAAGAGCCTGATACAAACAAAATGTTCTGCCCCACAAACACGGGTGGATTGAAATCATCGCCCACACCATCAGTGCTTGCTGGTCAGTAACTCCATCCTCCCTCCTTTTGTGATGTTAGGCTCATTTACGATTATTTTTTTGGATACATATCATACCTCACACAATGCTCTGTGTTTCACATCCTGTTGGAAAACACTATTTCTATAAGTACCATGTTACAAGCCTATCAGACAGTTACAAATTATGGACTGTGGGTAAGGCTTCGATGCAATTTTTTTATTGACTATATAGTGAAGTGTAGGTTACGAATCAGAGTATAGGCATTAGGAAGGGTATAGTGTAGGATATTTCTTTACCATAGTAGGCGGAAAAATGGAGATTTATATTAGTTACAGATAAGGTAAGATAACGAGTGGTGAAATAATATTGATGGCAAGGCAACATTATATCATGAAAGATCTAAACTTTTAGATCAGGCCAAGCAGCACAGACAAACTCATTCTAGAACGTCGTGGACAATGATAATACAAATTCTCGTGATATGGTAACAGCCACTGTCGAATTTTAGTACAAGAAAATCTCGCACCCGGAAATAACTGAGATAGGTTTAATGTAAGTACAAAGTGTATTTCAGTCCATACAGTAGAGAAAATTTAGAGTTTCATATAATAATAATATATTTCTGCAAGGGCAAAGAATGTAGTCAAACTTACACATCCACTCAAAACAACCTATATACAAAGTCACTAAAGCTCATTCAAGATCAATCATAACACATTGCTTAAACTATGTGTTTGTTAGTTACAAAAGATGGGTGCTTTTCATCCACTTTCGGTCGATCATTTAACCGTATTTGTTTTTGCAGTCATTTCGATAGATAAACAGAACACCCAACATCCAAATCACAATCATTACTACTCATCATGTTTATTTGTCTACCTCTTCTATATCATACATTCAACTGATAAACGGTTCATATCTTCCTTTTAACACCAATGTGTTATTTGACGCACTTCTGAATGTTAAGGTGATATAGACGGATCGCAAGAAGTTTAAAAATACTATGGTGATCCCAGTGATGTATTATTTGTAGAAGTTCACTATTCTCCATCGAGTTTTCGTGAAGCAACTTCAATTCAATATATGTCTTTACCTTTAAATGTACCAAAGTTTATCAGATTTTTCGCGTCGGAGGAATTTAACTGGGGAGAGCGGTTGGATATTGTAGCGGCAAATGAATTCTAAAATGACTACGACTGTAAGCTTTCGATATTGATTCTGACCACATTAGTTGAACTGGACACATCTAGCTGAAGGCGCTCAGACAAGCATCCACACCAGATCACCATTGGGTACGGCATGCTACTCATTACTTGCAACAGTCAGCCAGCCTAGGTCAAACCATTTTCGACATATTGACAGCATTCCCAAAATATTGGAGATGCCATAAGTATTTGAAATTTGACATTTTAACCAATAACAACTACTACAATCGAAACGTTCCAACCCAGTGAGATCAGGAGCCAGACACAAATAGATTCAAATATATATTTAAGAAGCTATCGATATATCAAAATGTGACTGTTCTAAACTGACTAGCGTTTGTAGTAGAGGTTAAGCTTAGCGTTCCCACTCGTGATCTGTTGCGGAAGCGTGACAGAGAACCTCCAGCTAGTTGAGTCCATTAAACTTAATGTGGTTAACATCAAATGTCGAAGACTGACAGAGCTATTAATTTTGGGGATTTATTTACCTTTACAAATCTTATAGGTTCCGTCTATTTATTATTCCTAGACTTCTAATAAAATGTTAGACAACCTACTCTGACATCTGTCTTCTCTTCGCATATCTACATTCTTATTTTGTAGTTTCTCATACTACAATCAACCGCTCTACTTCATGGTATTGTAATAAGTTCTGAACTTAGCAATCTTCATGCCCTCTAACAAACACGTTCATTTACACCTGATAAATACTGACCCACAATCAATTATCAAATTCAAAAGGATAGGCGCAGAAGAGCGGCTGAATTTCCCAAATTGCTCGTCAAAAGATTAAAAATCCATGAATAACTACAGAACTGACAAAATCTAGTACTGTCGAGTGGCCAGACTAACACCAAATTGACATCAACAAATATATGGAACCGTACCGCAGTGTCAAGAAGTGAGTGCGAAGAAATCAATAAGCATATGCTAGTCCGTCACAGAGTTATTTTGCATTGTATTTCCCATAATGATTTTGACCAGTGAGTGATACGGGTTGAGGATTGAAATTCTCTATGGTCCAAACATATGAAAGATGCGTTACATGGCTTGTACACATTTTCTTTCTTACAGTTAGGTAAGCTTTTTATAACAGTCTAACTGCAAGTGTACTGTGTATTAAGTAATTTTAAATTTTTGAAATGTGTTATTGCATAAATTCGGTCGTGGATGAATACGATGATTGATGATAAACCGATACCAGTGGGGAAAAACAGACATTGTACAATTTCTTTCTCTTTATCTCCCTTTAGTTCACCTTCATTTCTATTTCTTGTTTGCTTACGTGAGTGATAATTGATCATTTTTTCCACCGGAAATCCTAATCTCAAGCTACGTTAAGAAATCCTATTAATGGGATTTTGCGATCGAGTGTCATGAAGTTCCTAAATTCAGTCTTGTCAGTAAGTATGTGGTTCGTTTGTATAAACTCTCCTGTTATGTCCACAAGGGCTGCTACTGATGTGCCTTAAGCCTTTCAATGATAGTTTCAGCAACAAGTACTGTACAAATGGTTGTATGGCTTTGATAAATGGTCCCATAAGAAGATATCTTCTTGCCTAACGAGATCTCTTTTACTTCCTTTAAGTATTTGGTTATTTGTCTTGACTTTCGTCACTTACTTGTGCTCCGAAAATCCGTCAAGTGCTTCGGTATCCCCTAAATTTTTAGATTCAGAAATGGTAAAAGTACATACTGACAATTTTAGGTGACTCATCAGCCGTTTGGGAAACGCTTAGTTATAAAACAAATAACAATACAAAATAACGAGGTAACAGTAGAACAACAGCTTCGATAGTAATAACTAAAGCTCTCAAGACAACCGATTCTTTCTAACAATGAAAAAGAGCATGTTTTCACATATACGTTCTAACTAGAAGTCGGACTAGCATTGTACGTTAGGGTTATCACCCCATTAAATTTTCCAAAACTAGTGTTAATTTTAACGCAAAAAGGGTAGGGTTAGTTTTGAAGTGTTAAACTGGAGTTTTGGATTAAGTTTACAAATTCGAGTCAGGGTTTTTAACACGAACTAACATCAGTTATAATCCAATATTGCATGTTAACCCCTTACCACTCTTCTGCTTACAAAATCAGGAGAATTGAGGCTGGGACTTAGAGTGAGAGCAACAAAGGGAAAACAGTATCTAGCTTCACCAAACACCTGATTACTCAATGAACGACATAAGGTGCTTGAACACAATATGTCTTAAAAACAGGTATGCCATGTAATTTAACCTGGACACCGTCTAAAATTTAATTTTTTGTTGTATAACATATTTTTATTGATTTAAAGCACTGAAAACCTAATGTTGCCAATTTTCACTTTATTAACAATAACATGTTATATACCACTTCTTTTTAAACTTGGTGCAGAAGGATCAAGGTATTATCTTAATTTCGATTGGTTAACTCAAAGCTGTTAACATTTTATAATTTTACCGTCAAAGATCATCCAGAAGTATTTCCAACCATTGTTCGTTAGTTAATTACACTACTGATCTTTATCAAAAACAGTTTGTTCTAGAATATATTTTGCCATAAATATCAGGATCATACTATCCCATGGACAATTTCTAAGCTAAGGCTTTGTGTGGAACAGTGGCAAATACATCTTTTATCTGCTCCTAACACATTGTGGTATCCAAAAATAAACTGAGTCGTTCAGCAAAAGTAAGGACGTAAAATATAAATTATTGATAAGCCATAAGTTGCATCCACAGTATCTTATCCATTAATATGTTGTGCATAAGCAACATATAAAACAAACCTAGGCCAAATAAATGCGAAAGCATGAATATTTAAAATCAACACTCACCCAGCTTAATTGTTATGCGAAGTAACTACAGCTTGTGTTCGAGAATGACGTCTCGTTGTTCACTTCCAGGCTGTTTCACTATTTTCTTAACATAAGTATGCTGCAGAATTACTTTTAATGGCGGTCAATTAACTTCAGAACAACTTTTAGTCATATCATGTGTCTTAACCATGTTCCATGTAAAAAGATTTGGGGGTATTGTTATTTAGATATTATTTGATAAACCAGTATCAGTCATCTATATTTTAGATACTTTAGAGTATAATTATTAATCTAGTCTTTCATGAATAGCGAGGCGGAGGAATCTTTTTTTATCATTAATAAATACCATATATGTATGTGGGTTTGGTTACTGTCAGTACACAGGCTGAGCAAATGGCTTTCTTAGGAAGGGGGGCTCCTTGACCTAGGGGCCTAGTCCACAAGACATCAAAACAACGTAGATAAACGTGGTCCCATGGTAGCTGGTGACCAAAATAGACGCATACACTATTCACTTCCTTGGGGTACTGGAGCCAATTCACCCCCTTGGTTTGGAATCGGTATTTTTCGACCCCTATAGTTGGACCCTATGAATCTTTCAATCGAGTTTAAGTGAAAAATGTTCGGCTTTATTAAAATCATACCATGTTAACCCATCGAGTGAGAGTTATCTGGCTGAGTGTCTAAATGAATGGTTCTATGTAGTAATTTTGAAGAGAGAGGAATCTCCCCACCTATGGCCGTACCAGTACATTTGGACTATAGGCTTGTACTTATAACTTTAAGTCACTCTGCCACGAATATAACTGACTAGGAGTAACACTGAATAAATACTGGCTGTTCACTTATTACTTCGACCCAATTCAAATTGTTGCATTATTGTAATTGTATTAGTGAATTTTTTATACTGAGTATTCTCATAAATAAAATATTCGTTTGTTTTTAGGAATTATTCACCACAGACCAAAATCATATAAACGTATATGATTATTCTGTTGAATGTAATGCTTGTAAAAAATGATGACTGAAGTATTCAATAGCTTTGGTTCCATTTAATACTCGTATTATGCATCTCTACATACGAATCAATTAAATTTCTAGTTCAAACATCTTTATGTAAGTCAAATAATTGACTATTTAGATGTGCACATGTATGACCAATTACTTTTACATTTATCCACGCCCTAATATATTGTTTAATTATCTTTCCACTAAAAGCTCTAATTAATTTAGTGTTATTTTACTCTTTTAAAAGCTTGGCGATTGTGAAACTTGTCCATTAGGAAAAAGTTTTCTATCTATTTACTAATTGGGTGACTTGATAGCATCCCAATATGAACTAACCAAACTATCTCTTGTAAACTACCAAGGAAACGTTATCTTATATACAAGATTATAACTTAATAAATAAATGTGGTACTACACGAGAATTTTTCAATTCACACAGAATATTTTAAGTTTCTGTTGTCAAAATAATGCAAAATGCTGAGTTTATTCGAAACACCTAGATCATCACTTGTTTTTCATAACAAATCCAGATCAACCTCTAATTATGCAGCCACCTGAGTTAAGTTAATCGATGTTCTTAGTATCTACTGTTTGTTCATTATTCGCAAATTGCACAGTCTGTATATATGTCCTACAACCTAATGCTTTCACATTTCAAACTCAATATCGATAATTTAGACTGGATCCTAGTTTTAAAAAGAGCAAATAACCTGTCTATGAAGCTAAATCTATCAAAATCTACAAGCATTGATAAATTTTAATCCGAAGGCGGGGAACTATATTTACATGTCTAGATCGTTTACATAATCCAGAAAAATTTCAGTCTACTGATATTCCTTATTGTTGACCTACTTTTGGTCAGCTGGTCTGTCATAACATAGAACATTGCACAGCAGTATGTCAATGAGGGTTGTTATACTAAATCAACACGAAACGAAACTATCAAAATGATTGGCAGGTGTATCAAAATCCTAATTGTATCGATTACAATGAAAAAGATTAGACATTAGATATTATGGCACAAAGATAAGGAACAAATTTTTTCAATAAAAAGTATAGCTTTAAAACTAAAGATCCAGGAGAAAACAAACGGTGAATGCATCTGTGCTACTGTGATCGATTTCGGACCACCTTGACAAATGTCTGCAACCATTAGTCGTAGTTATCATGTCGACTCAAACCATGTAGCCAGTACTTACCAATACAACTCCATCCAACAGTTAATACCCCTATGATCTACACGTCTTGGTTTACCCCTCCCCCTAGTTTCGTGCCAACCTTTTCCTGCTCCAGTTAGTGCCGCGCGTCAATAATCTAATGACTGGACATACTTAACACAAACTTTAACAATTCCATGTGTATGCCTAATTAACCGTGACTTTCAACGTTATTATTGATGAAAGTATGTAGAAAGCCGGCATGGACAGGGCAATATCTTAGGAGTTTAATCCAATGAAATAAATTTGGAAAGAGAAAAAGAATAGGGACATGAAGAAGTCAGAAGATTAGAATTTGGCAGAACACAAAGAGTGGATGCCATTGCAAATGATTTTGAGCCATGTCATTCAAGGTCTCTAACCATCACTTGCTATCATCTCGCGGAGCCCAACCAGGTAGTCTACATCTACCAGCATGGCTCAGTCCACTTGTCAATGACTTCATGGATTTGTGCTACGTTTTGATCTTGCTGCCCCTAGCTTTCTTCCAGCCTACTTCTACACCATGAAACATTACACGTCGGTGCAGTCGGTGGTTGGGCATACGTAACACGTATCCCAACCATCTCAATTGATGAAGTTTCACTACTTCATCAATCGATTTGCCATCCTTACCTAGTATCCGTTTCCTAACAACTGCATTACTTACTCGGTGGTCCCAGGATATACGAGCAATGCTTCGAAGAAGCCTATGGTCGAATATTAGCAGCCTACGAATATCCTCTATTCTTATCGGCGTATTTGGTGCCCCCTTTTACCAATACTTATGTGTTCAAATAATAATAATGTAAACTGAATTATATTCTTAATAAACTATAACTACTCATATCATTGCAATCGTTTCAATTTATAATTGGTTTATGTTTTAATTGATTGATTCATTCAATGGAATCATTAAAGACGTTAATTGTTGTAAATAGTTTTTATTTGTTTTCTTACTTCTATCAGTTGTAATGAAAACTGTCTTCTAACACTATGATCAATATTGCAATAAAATGTGTAAACACACCTAACGTTTCTTAAAATTCGCTCCGGAAAAAGATCAACATACATTTTATATTTCACTCTCTCTCAAGATCTATCGATTAGTGTGTATTGTTGTCTTTTAATGTTTAAAATACAATCTCAACATTCTTGTCGTCCATTTAAAGTGGATTACATGAAAAAAATGTGTGTTCACAATCATTTGTTACCACTCATGTAAGATATTGATTGATAGTTCAATAGTCATACATGTGCTTAACTCTTTTGTCGATAAGGCTATTTTAAGAGGTGTGTTCTCGTTGATGATGGAAAGGGGGGCTAGTTTCGGCAGTGCTATCTTAACAGTTTACCACTTTATCATACGAAATCATTCTCGTTACTTGCTCACATCGATTAACATCTCCGTAGTTTCGTCAATATAGCCTTCATATGGTAAATTATTGTTCACAGGTAATTATACGATACCGCATACATTAGCTTTATATTTGTGAACAAGTTAATATCAAGTGCTGTTTAAGGTACAAGAGTGGTTGTCGTTTCCTGGTTGTCCACACCGTAGATGCATACTTTTTAAGACATCTGAGGAAATTGGGCGAGGGGTGGTCTTAATAACCAAAATACTCAACCTTGGTGCCCAAGAGACGGCTACTTCAGGCTGGTCGCGCATGGCATTTTCGAGTATTTTTTGCTGTATTAGCTTCGTACTTTTCAAATTTACCTCTGGTAACGGAAATTTTGTACGGCAAGGTAAGGTAGATTATTTTTAGCGCCAGTCTTTTTGTCCTTCTTTTTGTTGTAAAAATGCCTCCGAAATGCCCTGGTACAGCCAAGAGTGGGGAGAGTCACCTCTCCCTCTCGAAATGCTCTCACATGGCGACGCGTATACAGCCTCTACCAGGAAAGTCCTACTCACTGCCTTCTCGTGGCATTATTGTTGTTTACGAAATTGAGAGGACGGATAGCGAATGTCCGGCACTTTAACCGGGTTGGTAGACACCGAAAGTTGACCTAGGGGAGTTGGAAAACCCTGATACAAAACCAATGGTGCACATGGGCTCCAGTATCCTGGAGGAACAAATGGCGTATTAATCAATCGTTGGTCACTGGCTACCATGAGAGTGCATCTCCTCACGATGCTCCACTGACTTGTGGGTTAGACCTTTAGGTGTAAGGCTCCGGGTGTGGCCCCCTAAGAAAACCACCTGCTTCAGTTTGGGTACTATGCAGTATCACAGCCCTCACACAAATGAAATGAGATTTGTGTGGCGCATATGTATCTGGTGCTTCCTTGTACCGATATTTATGTGTTTAAATAAATAAATAAATAACCTAAAGGTACAAACGTTTCAACTGACAATTAAATTGTGTCATCGCGATGTGTAAGCCTGATCACTACATCCAGGTAGCAGCTATAGCCCTGTTAATTTTATTGCATTATGCTAATGTGACATGTCAACTTGGACAATACATATTTGTTCCAGGTTTCATGTTGGTTGTGGGAGGCTGACTTTGTATTTATATCTACCTATGTTGAACAAACGAATAGACTGTACAGTTATTCCTGTTTTTTGTAATATTGTTAGGAATAGGTTTCTCTTTGATAATCAGAGACTGATGTCATAGGGCAAGAATTAAACCTGAAACGCATTAATCCTAATGTAAAGTGAATTATCTACAGTTGTCTTTTCGTCCAGTCATCTATTTGTTAAATAACTTGTGATCACATTTGTTTTTGTGCTCAGTATACTCATTCTTCCTACCAACGGTGTTACTTATCCCTTGCTTTTGAGTTCTATTCATGATGAGGTCATGAATGTTATACTGTCACTGAGTAGTCTGATAATGAAATATCTAATCACTATTTATTCAGTTCTGGTGTGGTGAACAAGGACATGGGTGGGGACAACCGAATGTATTTTAGCACACAATTACAGACTAACCATATAGTAAATAGTCAATTTGCAAAATAACAATCAATCGTCTTATTTTTAACTGTTTCTTCTGTAAATATTTGTCCATAGTCTCCGATTATTATTGTTCATGCATTTTCATACCAGTTGCGCTTGGTTCCTGTTCGTTCGTTATCGGCCATCTACTGAAATGCATTCAGGTTATGAATCTTCGTCGACTGAGATGGTTAGGCCACGTGTTACGCATGCCTGAACACCGATTACCACGACGCGCTATGCTGACTAGTGTAGGGGATGGTCGGAAAAGAGTTAGGTGCGACCAAACAAAAATGTGGCATCAGTGCTTGAAGTCACTAACTTTTAGTCTGAGCCATGTTGATGGTAGATGGAGACTACTTGGTTGGCGTCCGCGTGACCATCATAACCAATAGTTGGAGACTGTGTGACATGGCTCAGAATCGATCACAATGGCGTAGATGTATGCACTCTTTATCTTCCCTTAAACCTTGAGACTAAAATTGCTTCATATTTGTCTTCCTTGCTTTACTATATCTTTATATACAATCTTTCTTTTATATATTACCACCATTAAATTAACTAGTTCTATGAATCCGATGTTCATCTTGCTGTGCTAACGAGGTATGGCAACTTGGATCGATGCATAAATGTGCCTGGTCCTACGTTGTAGCTGACTGACTGACTGAAATGCATTCAATACCCGACCATCGTAATGTATTACTTATGTGAATATAAGTAACCGACGCTACACTAGTAATTCTTTAACTAAACTCAGTTATTGATATGAGGCCACAATAATTTAACAATCCATAAACTTTTCACACTTACAAAAGCTAAATTTTATTAGTGCTATTATCAGTATCTAATATGTCCATATAATAATAACGGAAGTGTACTTTTATTTCTCATCTAGTCTGTGTTACGTATGTCCAACCACCGACTGCACCGACGTGTAATGTTTCATGGTGTAGGAGTAGGTTGGAAGAAAGCTAGGGGCAGCAAGATCAAAACGTAGCACAAATCCATGAAGTCATTGACAAGTGGACTGAGCCATGCTGGTAGATGTAGACTACCTGGTTGGGCTCCGCGAGATGATAGCAAGTGATGGTTAGAGACCTTGAATGACATGGCTCAAAGTCGTTTGCAATGACGAAAGTGCATCCACTCTTTGTGTTCTGCCAAATTCTAATCTTCTGACTTCTTCATGTCCCTATTCTTTTTCTCTTTCCAAATTTATTTCACTGTACTATACTCCTTCAATAACATCTTCAATCCCTTATCTTTCACATAATACTTATACTCTTACTACTTCTACCACTATGGGATTTGAATCGACAACTGTATCTGTGTGCTAATGTGGTATGGCAACTCCAACTGATGTACGTGCGTACGAAGTTCTACGTTGTGACTGACTGACTGACATCTAGTTTGTGTTAATTATGCTTGATTTTCATCCTCTTTTTTAATTTCTCTTGCTAATAAACCATATATATATATATATATATACATATAGAAAGAGAGTATTATATGCATGTATACATTTATATTTATATATTAGTTCCACTTATGGTTACTTCTATATCTGCTGAAGAATTTCAACGTTTTCAATCTCAATTACTTGATTTACGTGAAGCACAAATTATAGCAAATGATGCAAAATTACGTGCAGAAAAACGTATTAAACAATTAGAAGAAGAATTAATCTATACACAATCAGCATTAACTAATGCTCAATCTACATTTTCTAATAGTAATATACATTTAGAAGAATTAAAACAAGAGAATAAATTATTACGTGATAAATTATTGAATACTGAATCATCATTTCAATTACAATCATCTACATTAAAAGCTGAATGTTATCGTTTGACTAATGAATTAGATAAATTATCACAACAATTATCATCTAATCATATAGATACTACTTATACTACTAATAGTAGTAGTAGTAGTCGACAAGATGATAAAATTCAATGTTCAAAATCTTGTCAAACAATTATCATTACCTTCCATCATCAATCAATTCAAACTGATAATAATGATAATATAAATCAAGAAATTCCTACATATCTAATTGAAAATATAGAAAATCTTACAAATTCAATAAAACAAGCTAATTCAACACATGATAAATTAAAACAAACCATTGAATATTTAAATCATAAAGTTGATGACCTTGAAACTCAATTATCATTGGACATTTTAAATTATCAACAAACTATTGAAAAATTAACTAATGAAAATAAAACATTATTAATTGATTTAAATAAATCTCAAGATCAATATAATCACTTGGTGACAATTGAAAATGAATTACGTAATCAGATAGTGATTATAAAACGTCGTAGTGAAAAATTAAATTATGAATTAAGACGTCAATTAAGTCGATTTATACGTAATCAACAACAAAATAGTGATATTGAATTATCATCATTTATAAAATTAAGAAAAAATTCATTACATTCATCATCATCTTCATTATCTAGTAATAATAATAATAATAATAATAATAATAATAATAATAATAATAATAATAATAATAATAATAATAATAATATAATCTTAGGTACTTCAGCGACTGATGGAATATCTAATGAAGTTATAAATGATTCAATAATGAATGATAAATCATCTAATGTTTCTATGATGAAAAAAAATAGCAGCGGTGGTTTTCATGAAATGCCTCAAGGATTTTTTTCAACAGCTGATTTTAAAGTAAGTACAAAATAGAATATGTTCTTTTGTATTTTCTTCGATTTTGTTTAGAATAAGAAGACATTCTACATAATGGACTGATTTCAGGTGGAGAATCCAGGAGCTTTCCATAATTGTTTCATCATAGTGTCGTTTTGCCCTATTTGGTAAATCTGATATGCAATGTTTAGAGGACTCTCCTAGAAAACAAAACAAAACTAATGAATAGCTAAAAGTTTTTTATTTATTTTTATTTAAACACATAAATATTGGTACAAGGAAGCACCAGATATATATGCGCCGCACAAATCTCATTCGATTTGTGTGAGGACTGTAATACTACCCAGCTGCTCAGACCGAAACATGTGGTTTTCTTAGGGGGACACATCCGGAGCCTTTGACGTAAAGACCCGATCATCAAGGCACTAAAGCAACGTAAGGAGATGCATTCCCATGGTAGCTGGTGACCAACAATAGGCTTATATCCCATTTGTTCCCTCAGGATACACGAGCCCATATGCATCATTGGTTCGGAATCTGGGTTTTCCATTTCCCGTAGGTGGACTCATTGTGTCCACCAATCTGGTTAAAGCGCCGGACATTTACTTTTCGTCCTCTCACTTTCGTAAACAACAGTAATGCCACGAGAAGGCAGTGAATAGGACTTTCCTGGTAGAGGCTATATACGCCTGGCCATGTGAGAGCATTCGGAAAGGGCGAGTGGACTCTCCTCACTGTCGGCCATACCAGGGCATTTGGGGTGTGTTAAAAGAAAGATATGAATAATTTATCAGTAGAATGTATGATATAGAAGAGGTGGACAAATAGACATGATGAGTAGTAATGATTGTGATTTGGATGTTGGGTGTCCTGAATGTCTATCGAAATGACTCCAAAAACAAATAAAGTTAAATAATCGACGGAAAGCGGATGGAAAACACCCACCTTCTGAAACTTACAAACACATAGTTTAGACAATGCATTATGATTGATCTAAAATGAGCTTTAGTGATTCTGTATAGAGTTTATTATGAGTAGGCGTGTAAGTTTGATTGCATTCTTAGCCATGAGAAACTCCAAATTTTCTCTCGTATATGCAGTGAAATACAATTTATACTTACATTAAACCCATCTTGATTCATTACCCGAAATTGTGTGATTCACAATTGTTTTTTCCTTATCATCTTTGTTTCTTTTCTCACTTTCCTGTTTATACAATCGAATTGTTATATCTGTACTATATACAAGTGTTTTAACAAGTAAACACACCATGAGTTGGATTATTGATCGAAATGAAATTGACCTAATACGATATGTGAGGTGTTGTCTTCTTTGTAATCCATTGTTTAAAGTAGTTTATTAAAAGAAATAATTGAATATATTAACAATAAATATGAAGAAATTGGCTAAATTCAAGAAATATGTATGATTTCGGGTCAATATGCTGTTTTTTTCAGTGTAAGCTTGTGGAGTTTGTTGAATTTAGTGGAAATCATGAACCGATCTATGTCAAACCATCATTAAAAACTTAGAAGCACTGGATGGCCGTTTCGTCCTAGTATACAACCGCTCATCAGTGCCTATGCGTTAGTTTAACCCATGACTTTCGGTCTCGCGCGCAACCACTTAATCTCTAGGTCACTGGACCGGCTGGCATCCAACGATGTTAATGTCTAATCTTAGTCACTATAAACACTGTTTTGTTTAGGAAAAATAATGAGTACAATGCTAGTTGATTGATCATGCGTTATGATTACAATTTGACTGAGGTAAAAACCGAATAATTGGTTACGTAATTTTGTCGATCATCTGTTTCTTGCTTTTTTTAATAAATTACTAAAAAAAAACTAGAAATTACATACATTATAGTCTTTAAAAATGTTATTACATTCTTCAGTCTTTTTGTATCAATTGTGAAATTCCTGTTGTTTTACCATACATCTCCCTGTTGTACTGATGTGAAATGTGGTACTTCGAATTGTAATAAACTATCTTCCTAGCCAGTTACTATAATCTCAACTACTTCTACACGTCAACTAGAACGATAAAGAAGTGGCACGAATTAAGAATAAAACCTTTATTTCAAAGTTAGTTTCTGTACAAGAAAAAACGAGGGTACCTATGGAGTTAAACATGACTTTGAGCTTCTGGAAATTTCTGTATCAGTATAAAGGTAAATATCTAATCAAAACCGTAGCACCGTAATTCTGAATGTTCTAGATGTTTCTGTGGAACTTATATTCTATTTTTGATGGAATTAAATGTTTACCAGCGTTTCTAGGTTTCTAGAGATTTTGATGATGAATATTTTCAAACTCTTACGACAAATCGGTACGTATTTTTGCAAGATATCGTATTACAGATACTTTAATGTCACAATTTCTTGTTGAGGCAAATGATAACCAGAGTATGTAGAATATACTTGAATATACTTAAAGTCTCTCAGTAGCATCATCTTACCATTTATATAGTTTTAAATCATATATTTATATATAATTATAATTCTTCCCAGGCCATAATCGATCGAATGTCAGAAGTTCAAGAAGAAAATTGTACTCTTCGAAGATGTAAAAAACGTTTAGAAGCAGATTTAATGGCTAAAAGTAGAGTTATACAAAAAGGATTAGATAATTATCTTCAATCTCCATTACTTTATCATGGTAATAATGACGGTATCACTGTTACTACTACCTCAATATCAACTCCAGCAGTATCCTCAAGTCAGTATCGATCAGTTCCGTCAAATATCTCACCGTATACGCCTACAACTATTTCATCGTCATCATCATCATCAAATTTCCCCAATTCAACAACATGGTTTCCATTCTTAAAAAATCTCACCTTAACATCAGATTCATCAACATTAACATCGTCGTCAGCATCATTATCCAGTGTGAATATACAAACAGTTAATCGATTAAAACTCATGTGTGAACAATTAATGACAGAGAATATTGAATTAAAAGAGAAATTACAAAGTATACCATAATCAATTTATGTCCTGATCCCAATAGATAAATAAAATTGTGTATATGTGTGTGTTTGTATGTATGTATATATATATGTATAATTCCAATGTTGTTGTCGTGATTGTATGTTTTTATTTACTTTTCGATGCTTTTGAACTTTGAGTGATCTTCTTTTACTTTCTTGTTACTTAGATCTCATTATTGATTTATTGTTTCTATGGTGGAAAAACACAGATTATTTACTTACTTTAAAATAAAATCTAATTTCTGTCTTCTTTTTTTAAAACAATGTGTATCTTTGTAACTTGGTTCTGTTAACAAATAAGAGCCCTAGTGTTTAGATAATTTGTACAATAAAAGGAAAGAATCTCTGTAAGTAATATGTACTATTTTTTGTTTGTTTTAATTTGAGATTATTTTATTTTGTGTGTGTGTGTCTCGGTGATATATATATATACACTCACACACACACGTGCACGTATATACATATAAATATATATATATATATATATATATATATATATATATATATATATATATATGCACATTAATACACCTTTTATATACGCACAAATTCACTTTCATACATACATTCAAGTACACTTTTACACACATACAAATAATAGAAAATCATATTTTTCTAGAACACGAAACACCTAAAGTACAACACTTTCTTCATCAAGGATCCTCATTATACTTTTATTACTATTATTATTATCATTATCAGTAATACTTGCACAAAAATATTTTTGCTTTTTAAGAAAAATTTCTCTTCAATTCTTATAAATGACATTGGTGTTTATGTAATAGCAGATTCATCTATGGTGAAATTTTTTTTTGTTTTTTGGAGGAATTATTTGGCAAACTGTCGAATTGTATACATTTTTTACAGAGATAAATAATGTTGACACTTAAATATAATTGAATATTGAACATTTGATTGATCTTTAGACAATACTTGCACTTCAGGATTGGGTTGCATCGGCACCTGAACTAATGATAGGGAGTGAAGTAGTTGAGCGTGTTGACCACTTCACTTATCTTGGGAGTCTCATCTGCCTTTGTGGTCTGGTGTGTGACGAAATCTCAGCACGGATACAGAAGGCTCGTCTAGTTTTCACCAACTCGCGTCATTTATGGTGTAGGCGAGATATCTGTCTAGTAACCAAAGGACGGGTTTACTGTACAGAAGTTCGTTCCGTCTTACTTTATGGTAGTGAAACATGGCCGATAAGAGTAGAGGATATTCGTAGGCTACTAGTGTTCGATCATAGGTGTCTTCGAAGCATTGCTCGTATATCCTGTGACCACCGAGTAAGTTGTTAGGAAACGGGTATTAGGTAAGGATGGCAAATCGAGCGATGTTTTATGGTGGAGTAGGAGGGAAGAAAGCTGTTGGCGTCCAGACCAAAACGTGGTACAAATCCATGAAGTCACTGATAATTGGACTGGGCCATGTTGGTAGGTGTAAACTACCTGGCGAGATGATAGCAATCGATGGTTATAAACCTTGAATGACATGGCTCAAAATCGTTTGCAATGGCGAAGGTGTATCCACTCTTCATGTTCTACCAAATTCTAATCTTCTGAATTCTTCATATCCCTATCCTTTTTCTCTTTTCAAATTTATTTCACTGGATAATACTCCTTGAATAACATCTGCAAGCCCTAATCTTTCGGTTTACTGCTTATACTCTTACTACTTCTACCACTATGGGATTTGAATCGACAACTACATCTCTGGACTAATTTGGTATGGCAACTCGGACTGATGTACGTACGTACGAAGTTCTACGTTGTGACTGACTGAGTACTTGTACTTTAGCCTACACTGTAACAATTCTAGATAGCTATATTGGTTAGTCATATATATGCTGGAGAAGATTTGTAGCTCAGGTGAATGATTTTGATGGAGTTTTGTTCTCTGAGCTGGATGGTTTGGTCCCAAACAAATGGGAGATACAACCAAAAGAAATAAGTAAACAATGACAGATTTAAGGTCAACAAGAACCAATCAACATCGAGGTGTACAGGACAAGCTGTGAACTACTTGTGAAGAAATTCAAACACTTCACTTCTATCGAAAGTTTGTGCTGATGATGTTGTTCAGAAGGACGATGAAAGCTCCACGTCCAAACCATCCAGCTTAGAGTACAAAACTCCATCAAAAACATGTATGCATTTTCAAAAAACCTCATCACATTTTATGCAAACTTTTAGTGTACAGTATGAGTGAAATTGATAAATTTTAGAGTAGTGAGTTGTAATATTGAATTGATTGGGGGAGGGGTTATCACACGTATCTAGGATCTTCACTAGGTTCCTTTTCCTATAGAGGAAAGGAAAAATTAGGAAAAACTTTATCCTAGAAATACCGCACACCTACATATACATACTTGCATTCCACTGATTTTTATTGTCCACAGTAAGGTTCAAAAGGTTTAGAGCTAAGGAAGCAAAATCTGAAACATGATATGCATGAAATATACAATTAGTCTGAAGTAGTTACTCTTTGAGCTCTGCATCCAACGCTCTAACTTTGCTATAATCGTTCAATACTAGACCAGTTTTATTTTTAAGTTTCTCAATAAGAATATTACTTTCCAATGATGTATAACTGATCCTAATGTATCAGTCGTTCACGATGTTCTAATTATAGGGTTTTAAGTATTTAGAACACCAGCTATAATGCAAAAATGGTATTTTAACTATATATGCATGAATTTCGCGCCAAACTACAAGACTTGCTTTTTTTCATTTTATTGGTTCGTCCACAAATTATAGTCTAGGCGATTCCACCGAGACTTCACTGTGTTGGCTGCTTATGCTTTATTTTTGGCTTATATTATATTCTTAGTCGTGGGTTGGATATTTTAGAACTAAATTTGCTTATGACATTGGTCTAGTGTCGTAACGTACTACCTGGATTATTGATCTAGTTAGGTGACCAGTCTAATGATCCTATATCAAATCACATTGACAGAAATTGCCGTTTCTTTATTCTACAAAACTATAACAACCGATATCCGAGAAGATAAGAAAAGCTATCATTTATTGTCAAATGTATGCATATATTTGCCTATCAAATTTATATATTCATCAACGGTACAATAGTACACATGAACATATGTACAAATATAAATGAAAAGACGAGAACCATGAATAGGTTTAGTACAAAGATAAGGAATAAAAAAAAGAACAACTACCAATACAAGCCTATTAAATATAGCGAAATTTGAATTCATCACCATGGCATCCCCCAACACACACACATACATAGTAATCAAGTTATTTGTAATCACATCATGTAGACGTAGGAAGCGTGAATTATCATCGTGTTGATGATAAAGCAAAGAAAATGGGCTATACTAATAATGTACGTTTCTTTAAAAAAAAAAAGAAGAAGAACATGTTATACATTACACCATCTGAAGTTAAAGTTTATTCTCTTCTTTTTTGGCAGTCATTATTAAACATTTCGACCAGTTTGATATTGAATAGTTGAACGAAATTTAAACAAATTATTTATAAAAATCATAGTCTTTTGTTTATCTGATTCATTTTCTTCATGTTCCAATAGTAGATTGTTATCAATTGTATTACTGTTATTATTAGTATTAGAATATGATTTCATCATAAATTTCATTGCTTCTTTTTCATCATAACCACATATCATCAAAGCGTTAGCTATATCAATACTGTTTATACTGGCATATTCATTTTTTAATGTTTCCAAATTTGTGTCTATTGTATTGAAATCTAAACAATAAGAATTGGAGACAGTAGTTGTAGTCAATTCTGGATTGGCAATTGCATCAACCTATATGTAATTAATTTTCAGAGTTAAAAAAAGAAAACACATAAGATCGATTATTATTATAATAATATAATGTGGTTATTCAAAGACAAGATTTATGGGTGAAACTATAATTTATGGATGACCTTTCAGCGACACTAAAGTGACCTTGAGGATATTCACCTACTTACTAGAGTTAAATGAGTGTTATAAACCTGTGTGAAAACTAAGGATTATGGTATACCCACCTGAGCTACAAATCTTCTCCATTATGGTATACTGTTGATGGTTAAGGTTAGGAATTAGATTTAGAGTTTTCATCATGAACTAACATTAGTTAAAATGACAAAACTTATTTAGCCAAATGGATTTCATACCAAAATCTAAGAACTATTATCCTAAATCTGATTGATACGTCTCACTGATTCATGAGTTTCACAATATACAACTTGATTAGAATCAAGAAAACATCGATTGTTAGATTTCTGTGAAAAATTAACAGGAAAACAAGATTTTATGGATAATTTTGAATAAACATTTTGATGAAGAGACTGATTATTCAAATATCCAATCACTTATGATCATCTTTTGTTGTTGTTGATGCTTCATTCAATGTATGAATACTGAATATCATGGTGTAACTGTTAGTAGAGATTTGATTCCAAGTCTTAATTTGCATAATAGCTATGCTTTCTATGCAATATCTTAGATTAAACACTACAATAACATATTTATATTATAAAAAATTCTTTATTTATTTTAATTTAAACACATAAATATTGGTACAAAGGGACACCAGATATATATGCCACACAAATCTCAATTAATTTGTGTGAGGGCTGTGATACTGCCCAGGTGCGTGCCCAAACTGAAGCAGTAGGTTTTCTTTCCGTGTTCACTAACCCGGTTAAAGCGCCGGACATTCGCTTTTCGTCCTCTCAATTTCGTAAAAAACAGTAATGCCACGAGAATGTAGTGAGTAGGACTTACCTGTTAGAAGCTGTATACGCACCTGGGCAGTATCATAGCCCTCACACAAAACGAATGAGATTTGTGTGGCACATATATATATATATATATATATATATATATATATATATCTGGTGCCCCTTTGTACCAATATTTATGTGTTTAAATAAATACATCTAATCAATAACAACAGAAATGGGAAACTTAACAGTTCAAATTGATACATCATACATTTTATAATATTGGAAATATAAAACGAGAATGGAAGTTTGTTAACAACAAAACATTGAAATACTATCTGATTCCTTTTTTAGTTATTAAGTAATAAATTCAAGTCTCGTTTCATCTACTTCAATTTAAACGACCGACCACTTACTACTATCAATGATCATACTTCAATTAGAACTAATAACTAAGTACACAATAATATTATATTTGTAAGATTTATTGTGTTTATAGCCTGATCATTGTAATCAGTATTGAGATTAATATATACAATAAACAACATATAACCTACACAAACACACTTGAGAAAAAATAGATAAAACAATCAGTATGAAGTGTAACAATAGTGATAATAATAATAATAATAATGACAAATCATCTGATCAATCCTTAAAATGAAGTGAAGTTAAAGGTTAGATAGAAAAGAAAAAAAACACTGATCGATAATGACAAGATCACGGTTTACAGTGAAACATGTTAATCCCTTATCAAGAGAAAGTAATAATAATGACAGGTAAATTCGACTCAAAGCATCCACTTGACGCTACTGAGTAGTGAGTACAATCCTGCTAGCTAATATGGGTGGCCAGGGGAGATCAAACTAATCCATTGCTCTCCTTTAAACCAGACACTAATCAGGTTCCGATTTCGAAGCTCCATCAAAATCATCCACCTGAGCTACAAATCTCCACCATCTCATAGAGTGTATGTAGCTGAACTAGGCGAGACTATAATTTATGGACGTATCAATCAGATTTAGGATAATAAGTCTTAGACTTTGACATGAAATTCATTCATCCATTTGGCTAAATAGCGTTTTGGCATTTTAGCTTATTTCAGTTCGTGATGAAAACTCTAAATCTAATTCTTAACCTTAACCATCAACAATACACCATAATTCTTATTTTTCACACTCATTTAACTCTAGTAAGTAGGTGAACATTCCCAAAGTCATTTAAAGGTCGTCCGTAAATAATAGTTTGACCAGTGGTCTAAATTAACCTCTTGTCAAGACAATGTTTACTTACCTGTACAAATAAAGAACGTTGTTTTTTAGCATCCAAATATTCTGTTAAGAAGAAATTCAATAAACTTTCTTGAGTAATAGTTGATAAAATTTTTACCTAAATAAATAAATAAAAATATACAGTATAATATAACTATCTTCACTGATATCATAAAACAAATACAATATAGAGGTTTTTACAGATTGGTGAACTTTATGGTTTAAATCATAGACTTATGATCTTAGTCAAACAATTATTGAAAACCATAAAGCATTGGAAAACTGATTCATCCTAGTATAAAACAACTGATTCAGAGTTTCAATCCATGATATCAAAATGGATCGTAACAAGAACCTTCAGGTGTTGCGATGAGCGCTTGACATGGAGACTACACCATCTGAATTTTCTGAGTTCCATTTCCAACAGAGTCATGGATGGGTGACCTTGAAGAGTCCTATGATAGGATAGGACTGTTCTCACGTTCATTACGGCTTGTAATAGTTATTTAAGATCAGCTTATAATGTGAATCATGAAATTATTGTTCATTTCGTCCCATCAATGTTTCCCCATTTTATTATTTATTTGCATATATATCAGTTACTAAGTGTAATATTCTTTGTATATCTGTGTGTGATAGCGGGGGGGGGAAGAAGATCCCTTTCAATAAGTATTTTTTATATACGACGATAATCTTTTATTTCACCGTTACATGCGAATTCATTGCTTTATAAATAGGATTGCACAAATTGATCAAATAAAAACCAGATAAAACTGAAATTGTCAACAATCTCCGGTCAACATTCTAACTAAAGATCGAATTGAAGACTGTCAGGTCTTTGAAACGAGAAATTAATCCCTGCGGAGTTGACATTCAATATTTGACATCTCTAACTTAACTCGATTCATGATATTCTACGGTCACCATTGATTGCTACGGATAATATTTATCACAATGACTGTATTGGTAAAAACCTTCGCACTATAAGCCCAGGAATTACCATTAGAGGTCATTAGATATAAGTGTTATATTAGGAAAAAAATAAAGGAAAGGTAACTTCCAAGACTGGTTTATGGAATATTATTATACATATTCTTTTGAACAAAAGCTTACGGTTGATTTTATTAAAACTGTCACATTACTTACTATTCTTAATTTGTTGCCTGTCTATCACTTAGAATCTCCCTTATTTACAGTCAGGTTTGGCTGTTTCTTTTCATTTCATGATGTGATATGGTTTGTTATGCCTGTAAATAAACCAAGTCTATTTGAAATATAAATATATTAGAGGTTAGTTGCTGACTTTTGAACTGAAAGCTGGGCATAGACAGGAGTCAGTGAGTAGTGGAACAATAGAAACATAGCTACCGGATCAAAGTTACTAGTGCTGGTTGAACGTGTAATTAGACAAGTTAAAAACACTAAATCACAGAAGTCGGGATTCCGATCGCTGCCATTGTCATGTGATTCTAATCAGCAGTTGAAAGACATAACAATATATGTTATATCCTAACAAAGAATAAATGAATGGTAACTGCTAGGAATTATTTGTGGACTATCATTATATATATTCTTATTATATAACTATTAAGTATTTGGATTATACGTGTATTAATATGCCTTTAATCATAAGCTTTCATTCTACCTATTAGCTATTATGATACGATTTAATATTCTTAAGTTATTCTCAATCTTTTAGTTACAGCCTCTCACACTTACAGCCACTTTTGGCTTGATCTTGTATAATTTCGATAGTTGAGATCACGAGTCATATGAAGCTAGACCATCATGGAAAACCTGAAAGCATTGGACGGCCGTTTCGTCCTATTATAGGGCCCCTCCTTGGTAGTGCGCATCCACGATCCCGTCTCGCGCGCGAGCGCTTAACCACTAGACCACTGAGCCGGCCAGCATCCAACGATGTTAATGTCTAACTTCAACCGATCCACGAAGTTGAGCAACCGTTCACCAATGTTTTCAGTGAGTTGATATCTCACAACAAACCTGTCTGAACTCCACTGGTCACTGCTTCCCACTAGAACTCCAGGAAATACCTCATGGAGTCAGTCACTAGTGAGCATATGATTATAATCAGAAGAGCCTTTTGTGATTTCAGTAATTTTATAGCTGAAATCATGAGTTAATTGGAGCTAGACCACCATCAAAAACCTGGAAGCACTGGACGGCCGTTTTGTCCTATTGTGGGACTCCTCAGCAGTGCGCGTCCACGATCCCGCCTTGCGAGATTCGAACCAAGTACCTACCAGTCTTGTGGATGCACACTGCTGATGAGTCCCACAATAGAACGCAACAGCCGTCCCGTGCTTCCAGGTTTTCCATGGTGGTCTGGCTTCAATTGATTCATGATTCCAACTATTAAAATTACTATAATATCCACAGAAACCCCTTTTTGTATAATTGTTTATATGTCTTCTGACTGAACGCTAGATTCGGCTCCTAAGCTCTGCTAGTAACCACGAGTCACGAGGAAGACTCTACACGAAAATACACTCATTTATATGATGATTGCACACTCATTTTGATTAATAATTAAAATAAAATCACATATATCTAAAAAAAACTTGGAGGTACCACACAAATCACATGCTGCATTTCATGCTGAGCATAGTTCAGGTCAATTAAATACAAGTATATTGTATGGTATACAGAATAAACAAATACTACATTGTGTAATCATCACATTGAATTAAAACGGAAGTAATGTTGACCAAGTATCACAATGATTAAAACAATCTAATTTCGAGTTTTCCTCCCGTCATATCAATTGTTATTGTCTATTTTATAATGTGATGCAGTCTGGTTTGCATGTATAAAACGGCATATGTCTGAAATACATGATTCATACAGTAAAAGCTGAGATTGTGTTCTGGACTCAAGTGGAAAGGGCTAGGCGGGAAGATTCAATTAAGAATCAGAGTTGACTCAAGACTGCTTGTGCTGGTTAACGCATTATTGATTTGGCAAATAGCCAAGGTCGTGTAAATTAACATTATGATTGATGAACTTGCCACATGATAATTAACGGGGCAAAAGTCATAACAATATGATGGGTTTTTCTTTTTTCTGAATACAAGAGGATAGTAGTGTTTGATATTTGAATGAACTTATTTTAATGCAAATATCCAGTTGAAAGTAGTTTGAATAATTTCATTTAGCATTGTTTGTTTGAATCTTTTCATCGATGTGTTAGGACTGCAACTGGTCAGTCTCTAATTGGCATATGTGCATACTGTGCGCATTGCCTAGATATAGCCTTAATTCACAAGCATAGTAATCAAAGATGGATAGTGGCTAGCAGTGGAATCCAGGACGCGCGTTTCGTCCTATTTGGGACTCGTCACCTGGATGTACCTGCATCTCATAGTTGATGTTCACTCTGGGACTCGAACCCAGTACCTTTTGCTTCAAACGCCATCGCGTTATCCGCTCAGATACTGAGTCCTGATAGACACTAGCTTGTGTGATGGGATGAAGTTTAATTTCATTTAGTATTGTTTGTTTGAATCTTCCCATCGATGTGTTAGGACTGCAACTGATCAGTCTCTAATTGACATATGTGCATACTGTGCGTATTGCCTCAATATAGCCCTAATTGAGTGAACATCAACTCTGTGATGCAAGTACATCTAGTTGACGAGTCTCAATTAGGACGAAACGCGCGTCCTGGATTCCACTGCTAGCCACTATCCATCTTTGCTTACAGTAGTTTGAGTATTTATATTTAGTTTGACTATAATAATGGGTGAAAATCTCGTAGAAAAAGATTTGAACACATCTTCCTGACGACAAATGCCAAGGCAAAGATTAATAAAGAATCGATATTCATCCATAATTTACAATTTGTATCTTATCATCTATGATATTTAAATACCAAATCAACTTACACATTCTTCACGATAATTAAAATTTGCTGTACTTTCCATAATTTCATCCCAGTTTCTTTCAAATTCGGTCATCATATTAGGATCTTCTAATTGATGCACAGATATCAATGATTCTACCTATAGGAAGTTTTAAATTAAATTCTACTATAGTAAGTGAATTATAAACTGTAAACAATTTTATAATTCGATTGCTTGCTTTGAAACAAAAGAAAAACACATTGATCAATCATAAAATGAAGGGATAGTTCCAGTGATAAATGAATTCAACGTTTAAATTCGTTCAAGTTCCGGTTTCAAACTACCACTCTCCTCTAACTACATCGGTTCAGGCGAAGGAATCGTATGACTGGTAGTCTTCAATACTCTTAAGAGTGTGGCTGAAAGTCATATATATATATATAAGGTATGTCCATCAGACAAATCAAAAGCGGCAAAGCAGTTGGCACAGACAACATCCCGGCAGAGGCACTGAAAGCAGATGTAGCAGCAACTGTAGAGATACGCCACATTCTCTTCAGCAAGATTTGGGATGAAGAATAAGTGCCAAGAGACTGGAAAGAACGACTTCTGATCAAAATACCAAAGAAAGGCGATATCAGCAAGTGTGATAACTATAGAGGAATCACTGTTCTCTCAGTACCAGGAAAAGTTTTCAACAGGGTGTTGTTAAACAGAATAAAGGACTTCGTTGACGCCCAACTTTGAAATCAACAGGCTGGATTTTGTAAGGATAGATCGTGTACAGACCAAATCCCAACTCTACGGATAACTGTGGAACAATCAATTGAATGGAATTCATCACCCTACATCAACTTCATTGACTACGAGAAAGCATTTGATAGCGGGACAGGAAAACACTATGGAGGCTTCTTCGACACTACGGCGTGCCTGAGAAGATAGTCAATATATATATATATATATATATATATATATATATATAAAGAATTTGTGAAGATCATGGATTCTGTCGTTTACGTCACAGATCGACTGTAGCTAGACAACCAATGAGAATCGAAAACGGTAGACAAATGTTTCATTGTGGAATGGTATTCTTTAGCAATGGACATCCGCAACCCTGAAAGAGATCGGACTCATGACCTTCAAGACTTAGTGTCAGCTTTCAACCTTAAGACTACTTATTAGGGATCTAATGGTTATAAATCTAAACTATGAAATGCCAGCTTAATAATCGAAAGGCACAAAATCCACAGGAAAATAAAAATGACAAAACAATTAATCAACCAATGCGAGAACAATAAATGCCATTGATAGAAAATGTGGATTGTCAATATATGAAGAACTCTGGATGTACAAACAGTACAGTATTCTATTTGGCTTTTGCCAAATTAAGTCACCTATGGCGAAGACGAGATGTCCGTCTATCAATTAAGGGACGAGTATACTGCGCAGCAGTTCGCTCTGTTCTACTTTACGGTTGCGAAACATGGCCAATAAGAGTAGAACATACTCGTAAGTTACTAGTATTTGACCACAGATGTCTTAGAAATATTGCTAGCTTCTGCTGGGATCACCGGGTAAGTAGTAGTGAGGTTAGACGCAGAGTATTAGTGAATGATAGTAAATCAGTTGATGAGGTTATGAATCTTCATCAACTGGGATGGTTAGGCCACGTGTTACGTATGCCTGAACACCGATTACCACGACGCACTATGCTGACTAGTATCGGCAATGGTTGGAAGGGAGTTAGGGGCGGCCAAATCAAAACGTGGCATAAGAGCATCAATCCACTTACTTCTAGTCTGAACCATGTTGGCAGATGCAAACTACTTGGTTGGGGTCTGCACGACTATCGTAACCTATGGTTGGAGACTCTAGGTGATATGGCTCAGAATCGATCACAATAGCGTAGGTGTATACACTCTTTATCTTCCCTTAAACCTTGAGATTAAAATTGCTTCATAACTTTCTTCCTTCCTATACTATATCCTTATATACAACCTATCTTTTATATATTACCATCGCTAAATTAACTACTTCTATGAATTTGGTGTTCATGTTGTTGTGCTAACGAGGTATGGCAACTTGGACTAATGCGTATATGTGCCTGGTCCTACGTTGTAGCTGACTGACTGACAGCATTCTATTCCAGTGACTAAAACTTGAGTGCGATTTGAATAGTAATTAATAAAGATCTCTTATTTACCAAAATGATTAACTATAAACAAATTCTATATTGTATAAGTATACTATTAGCTAATTAAATCGAAAGGGGAAAAAGTGATCGTGAAAATGGTTATAATTGACTGATACTATAGTCATGACCAACTTTTTAGACTTGGTAGCCGAAATATTCGGATGAAAAATCTTTAATTTCTCAGCCATGATAAATAGTATAGAAATTAAAAAACACACAACATTTTACACTTACAGACGTTTTAAATGTTTCCGATGGCATAGCAGCAATAATTCTTGGAGCTATTCGACGCCAGAAAGCAGTCAATCTTCCAGCGACATAATCAATAGAATATTTATTAGCTGGACTATATGCTACTAAACTGATACCTGAATGTAATGTACCACCAGGAGATGATCGCCAATATCGAAGATAAACAGTATATCCTAAAGTTTCTTTAGTACGCAGATAATCAAAAGCCGGTTCAGATAATATAAACTGAAACACAAATACATAAGAGAAAACGAAAAAAAGATTTAGTTAAATAAAAACAGCGCACGTTTATTTCAAGAAAACTTAACATTTGATAGGGTTATTTAATAAGAAGCGATTGATTAAGAATTTCTGTTTTAATAGTATGCCAAGTAAAAATTTAAATTGTACTCAACTTTGTGTTACACTGTAATTGTAAAGGCTAGTGATAATATTCAGCAGTTCATGTTTAATTGTGTTTGAACTTACAACTAATTAGTCAAAACATGAGTGGCTCCGCCTGTAGCTCCTCCGGGGGATACTGCCGGTCCCAAGCCCGAGTAAAGGAGGAGGGTTGGGCATGGGGTTAGCGACCTCATCCCGTAGAAAACCAACTCGCTAAAAAAACGCTAACCAGAAAAAGAGTGGCTAAGGATTACAGCCATCGCCATCAGTAATATGCGGCTCCGGACATTACTTTGACGACTAAGGTCTAAACAGTCTGGTAGTATTACGAGTCCTTGCCGATTGCACATAATGAATGGCTCAAAGCTGAGTACCTAAATTGTTACTCACTAGACTAGATACTGTTATTAAGGGATAAAATTATTTAATCTTATTACTTTTGTTGAATAAATAATATTTTTACCCTGTAATGAAGTTCGCAGTAGTGTTTTTCCAATTCATATTTTTGCAATGACCTTTTCTGTTATCTAACACATTGTTTTCGCTCTTAGTTTGCTGCTTTTTTCGTATCTCAGAGACGTATTTATTGCCATACAAACAAGGTTATTCTATCGCAATATCGACTTGTACGAATGTCCGGCGCTTTAACCGGGTTAGTGGTTACGGAAAGTCCACCGACGGAAGTTGGAAAACCCTGATTCCAAACCAATGGTGCACATGGGTTCCAGTATCCTGATGGAACAAATGGAGTATGAATTAATAGCTGGTCACCGGCTACCATGGGACTGCATCTCCTCACGATGCTCCACTGCCTTTTGGGTTAGACCTTTAGGTCAAAGGCTCCGGGTGTGGTCCCCTAAGAAAACCACCTGCTTCAGTCTGGGCACCTAGGAAGTATCACAGCCCTCACACAAATCGAATGACATTTGTGTGGCGCATATGTATCTGATGCTTCTTTGTACCAATATTTATGTGTTCAAATAAATAATAATAATAAATAACTTGTACGAATATTAAACCTTCGAAGTTTTTGATTTTACTCTTTTCAATCGTGAAGCGGATTGTTGTTGAAGTGTTATACACCCATTTATCCTAATTATCTAGTTTGAACAAATCCTGTTGGCATTAACAGAACCGCCAAAAATTGTTTGTCAATAGAAAATATTGTGAACTGTAATAAAACATAATAGTCACATGAACTAATATGTATACTAGAATAGGGGATTTGTGGAGATTGTAGTAATTTCTAATAGTTGGATTCATGAATCGATTGAAGCCAGACCACCGTTGAAAACGTGGAAGTACTGGACGACCGTTTTGTCCCAGCATGACACCCCTCAGCATTGCACATTCGCGACCCCGCATGAGAAACTCGAACCAAGGATATTAACACCATTCGATGCCGGCTCAGTGGTCTAGAGGTTAAGCGTTCGTGCGCGAGACCGAAGGCGAGTGAACTTCTTGTCCTTAGTGATAACAAACCGTCATTCGAAAACTAGCCCCATAAATCGGGGAAAAAGTAGTGCAAAACCAGTGAAATAAAGAAAAAGTGTGTATGTGTGTGTGTAAAAAGAATTCCACTTACTGCCAATAGTTTATTATAGCATTGTTGTTTAATATCGGATTCACCAAGTAAATGTATTCTAGCTAGACACATATTTACATCGTTTGGATTACAATTCATAACACGTAAATAATATGTACCCGGATCTAGGATTGAGGTATCAAACTAAACAGATTGTTGGGTTTTTTTGCAAAAATAAAAGAATACAGTTATAAGGAAGTTTTTAGTAGATCAAGAAATTTGGCAAAATTCATTCGAATAGAAGAATTGAATTATGAGGTGTAAAAAAGTCCTATACGGATAAGGAGTTAGTCATTACTTTGAATTGACAGATACCCCGTTGACTATTTAAATGAGTCATGTAGGTAGGTACAAACTACTTGGTTGGGGTTCACATTATTAACGTAAACGATAAATAGAGACACTGGGTGACAAAGTTTAGAATCATCTGCAATGGAACAGGTGGAATCATTCCTTGCCTTCAACTAGATTTTGAGTTTCTAAAGTACCTTAGAATTTTATCTTTTATTTTTTACCCAATTAACCCATATTTTCTCCTCGAATCATATCTTTGATACATATTCCTTTCTATTACTATTAATACTCTGACTACGTTCACGCCTCTGGGATTTCTCTTGACAATTTCATCTGTGCCAATGGGGTGTAGAAACGTGAACCGGTGTGCACATGTAGCAGCTTCTACGTTACGTTGGGAAGAAGTTTAAAAGGCTTAAGAATAATGACAAATTACCTAAAATTGGAGATCTATTCGTCTAGTAATATAAATGATTAGATCTTATATCACTGATTAAACTGTAGCATGTTCACTACCACAAGACCTGAAAGGTCACAAGTTCGACTTTTCGTGCATGTTTATAGCCATACGTTTGCAATGTTGAGGTATTTAAAATCATAACAACAAAATGCAGATTAATTATGTGCTCATCACTTGTTAATAGCTTGCTGAACAACATCAGTTTGTAGCCAAAACTATATTTAAATTAAGATGAGATCTCTATGTTTGACGATCCATAAATGTTTATCGGTATAAGTATAGCGTGACAAAATAGACACTTTTCTCCTCTTCACCAGAATGTACACTAATTACTTGTCAAACGCCACAAAATACTTTCGTTTATATCGAAGTGTAAAGAATTATGTACACATATTCGACTGGGAAACTGTTGGAATCTTACATAGAAGGAATGCAAAGAATACTAGAGAATTTTTAGACGGAAAGCACTCAAGTTGACCGCCAGTCAATAAGCGTATAAAAATCGATGCAAGTTATCAATCAATTAGAAAAACTATGAACAGTTGTGAAGTTAGAATTCAAATCAAAGGGAAATGCAGTCAAAATAAAAATATAGAGATTAATACAGAACAGGTGCCTACAACAACCGATCCCAATCAGATTTGACAGAATAAGTTGTGTCTAAGTCAAAACAAATCAATTCTATCAAACGTATGTACTGATGATGTTATCTGGAAGAATAACGAACGTATCACGATCAAACCACTAACTAAAAAGAACGAAACTTCACATAGAGAGGACAGTTGTTGATAATGTTTATTCAAAGTTCTGACTGGCTGTAAATAAAGCTGAATCCGACCTATTCAACTGGTGCATTGAGAATGAATGATCGATATCATAGTACCTTATTCTCAATGCTAACAGTAGCACTAACATCAAGTCTTACGGCTGAGAATTATTAACATTACAAAAACTGAATAATGGGGTAATCTTTATGGGCACTGGAAGAAAGAGAATTTGTAGTGTATTAAATATTCTACAAAATGACGCATTGAAGGTGTAGACAAAAAAAGTGAAGAGAGGGGAAGGATAATAGTTGTAATGACATCAGATAGGCATGAGTTCGAGGTACACAAAATATTTTATTAACTAGTAGTTCCTACTACTAATGAGTAGCTAAACAAATATTTCCTAGAAAAGGTATATGTATATATAGGATAAGGAATCATGTTGACTGTTTCAAGTTACACTTTATGATTGTATGAAGATCATAGATAATAATCGGTTTCATTTATCTGGATGCACCTATCATTGACCAATTTTGATTTTCGCACTGAGATTTTAACCTAATACCTTTTGCTTCCAATATGGAGGTAATCCGTTTAGGGCTGTAAATACGCCACCAACAGGGAAACTGATCAATTACAATCGTTAACATTAACAATGCGAAAATACAAAACTATTATAATTTAATTTTGGTGCAGTTAAAAAACAATAATAATGTGGGTTAAAAGTATGAGAAAAATTCAATTTAATTGGATCAAGGTTACAAGGGAAAAAGAGAGATCCCACAATAAAACAGCGGGCACCAACGGAATCACATTTGATGGGAAAGTTATGGAAGAAGTTTAAACCTTTACGTACCACCTGGTAAGCATCAATTATAAACAAGAAGGATCTGATGCAGATGTAAAGGCACGGACTCACAAAGAAATGGAAGAATTCTTACAACTCATGAACGTCCAAAACTCAAAACAACCATCAAAGGCAACATCAAAGTTAGAATCTTCAATACAAACATTAAGACAGTTACAGTGTACGGAGTTAAAACTTGAAGAACTACTACAGTTATCATTAATAAGGTACAGGTATTCATAAACAGTTGTCTATGCAAGATACTCCATGTGTCTATCAGACACCATCAGCAATGGCCTACTGTGGCAGAGAACGAATCAGCTTCCAGATGAAGAGGAAATTAAGGAAAGACTGTGGGGGTGGATAGAATACACACTGTAAAAATCGCCAAACTGCGTAAAAAGAAAGTCCTAATTTGAGTTTCTCAAGACAAGAGGGAAAAAGGCAGACCAAATAAAATATCGCGTTTGGGAAGCGGAGGTAGTCATCATAAAAATGGATGGGACTTGTCAAAAACTGGACGACTCCATGATAGAGTAGATTGGATATTGCTGGTAGGCAGCCTATTCTCCGCGAAGAGTAATAAGTCTGAGTGAGTAAATTAAGGTTAGAGTTAACTTACCAGTTTTCTTGTGGATCTAGGGATAGGTTGAATCTTCTCCACTGTATAATCAAAGAAAGAAATAGCATCCTACAGATAGTTGGATGGTCGGTGTGTGGCGGCAGCAGTGAACATGACAGAAAACAAAAGAACATATATAACAACGTGGAATATATAAAAAATTTAAAAAATAAACACATAAATCTATATACGTTGGTTATTTAAATTATCTCTCAAAACAGATGGTTTTTGAAATTTTCTTTCCTTGCATTTCTACAGTTATGGACACATACTGCTCATAGTATGTGTTTTTGGAAATTGTTGAATTTTACTGAGATCAAGAAGACAATGGGAGATGGTGGTGTATTGTCGCAGCTCCATTGAGTTTGAATTTGTACATTAATGTATCCCAGCTCAATTGTCTAGAAGCTAGGAGTTCGAGTGAGGTGCCAAATGTCAAGGGTTTGATTCACGATCGTTTAACTTAAGTCAATCAGTGATCTTAACAAAACATACAGTTTTGTTTTGATACGGCTGACGGTAAGTCCTAATTATAAATGACTGAAAGATTTTTCTAATATTAAAGGGGGTGTATGCAAACTACACAAACCAGACAACTAATGAATAACACTTCTTCAATAATTCCACATACACGGTTGATAGGAAAGAGAAAAATAGAGATAGAAATCAAGAACTCAAGAAAAAGCTTGATAATTAGAAAAGACTGAATTGTAATAAACCAACTTTGTTTATATACCAGCAAATATGAAAATGAGATATGTAGCAGAAGCAGCAAGTTGAAAACAAGGACAACCAATCGCACAATAGCAAACGTCAGTAGAGAAAATTCACAAGTGATTGATCATTGAGTAGTGACCACTGTCATATACGTCAAGTCCTTCTTAGTGCTGTTGGAAATCTATTGGTCAAGTCGCACTGTGGCCACTAGTCTAAGCTAATTGACGTTGCGTACACTATGTTGAAATGTTAAGTGGAGATCCAAGGTAGTCGACAGGAAACCCTGAACCTAGGTTTCATTCTGCTTGGTACCCATCAGCAAGATGTACCTGTATTCTTGGGGGAACTGATGCTCCCTGGTGAATTTAATCTAGTTTCAACCAGCTTCACAGTCGGAGACGTCGATATTGAGCTATTTGAGCCGTGAATGATCTCCTGTAGAACTGAGATATATTTGCAATGAACTGAATGGAAAAACGTAACCCCAGACCTCCTTACACATCAGAACCATTATTTACTAAATGAACTGAACTAGATAATTTGAGATCTTTTTAAACATACACACATGCTTGAAGAAGACTTACCTGTCTTGTTATATTACCATAAGCATAGATAGTAATATGTAAAGTGGACAAAAATTTTTGTTTATATGCAGCAAGATCAGCTACTGACAAATTTTTCAGTGCACTCAATATATCTGTAATTAGATAAGCTTCTTTACGAAGAAGATAAAATTGAAGATGACTGTGAAGTAAACAGACGAAACAAACAAACGAAAATTATTCGAAGAGTAAATATATAAATGATCAGTAAATGAATTAATCAGCAGGATAAAAATGAGTATAGTGGTGGTCAAGTGTTATGTTATACGCTCAACCCATTTATATACTGACATACACACTAAATATACTCGAGTTCAACTTGCTGTGCAAGTGAGAAGATTAAGAATGAGTAGGAAGGTATAATTTGCAATCTAACACAGACACACACTACACATTTGCACATATAAAAATATATATGTCCGTCAGATATATAAATTACTAGTTACTTGTTTATCATCACCTACCTAAAACTTAGTCTTAAGATAGCATGCGAACATAAGTGCGCACTATTGTGGTAGACGCTACTGACAGGGATGTTTATAAGTAGCGTGTAGCGGAAATTAGTGTCGAAGTTGCAACAACTGTCGTACAGAGTGAAGAGTTTCAGAGCGTCAAAAGCACAGAGTTGGCAGAAAACTCGGAGACCATTCGGGAAGACAGTTCAGATCGCATGACACACTGGGAGATGCAAATGGACAATCGAAGGCTATGTTTAAGTATTATGGGAATACTTTACAACCTTTCGGAATAATATACATTCTTCCTGCCTATTATCGTGCTTTACAATGTTTGGATTAGGTTCGCTTATTAATAAGATACTCCGTATGAAAAAAGGCAGAAGTCTGTATTTGCAATCATGCGTTTAATCTATGACAGTCTGAGCATCATGGTGAGTGGCACTAATCCTTAAGCCTAGAGTCAGATACATAAACCGGTGATTTATAGGAAATCTAATCTAATCAATAATCACGGGAGCCTAAAACACAAAAAGTCAGCATCTAGGAATCGTTAATCATCTTATGGATTGATACCACGTTTAATACGACATTATAGATTTCTTATTCCAACCTTTTCTTCTATCCCGGACAGAACAGTACGCCATGAAAAAAATTCTTGAATAACAAACAAAAACAAATTGGGGGTCAGGATCGAAGCAATAGTATTAAAAACCTCATTCAATGGTCCATTTCGAATCGCATTTCTCACCGAACATGATGCTGAGACAGTATATGATCAGTTTGGAATCGCCTGGACTACCACCTACACCTGACTTCCTGCAAAGTTTTTCGCTTTTTAATCATACGAACTGAGGAGGCTGAATCATTTAGAAATATGATCACCAGTATACGTCATTTAAGACATTACATGACGTTATAAGTAGTCGTCTTACAGTAATCAACTTTATTGTCCACTGCATTTAAGCATCATCATCATTCACGATAACAATGAAACTGTTTAAAAAAGTAATGTTAATTGGCTTGTGTTATAACGTGAAAGTGTGTGCGTGCCCAATTGTCATATCGATTGCTAGAGTACCCAGTTATATAGATTGGCTCGCCTATTAGAGAACAGTGAATTTATTGATCAGAGAAATGATACACAATATCGTATGAGCTGTACTGAGTACTACTCGGTCCTGCTTTCTGCCTAGCCCAGCCAGTTAAGTCGAGAACATCAATAACAGCCTCTGCAATATGAATCATTATTCACAAACATACTGCGTTTTCATACCAATCAAACAGACCACATCGTACCATAAAATGGGAAATATTTCTACAAGATTTGGCCAAATATGGCTGTGGCACTCACACGATATAAGTTTGTTATACTATTTCACTTACGTATTGAGTACATTTGGTTTAAGGGCTTCATTATAATAAATTTGAAGTACAGCATCACGATATGATTCAAAATATTCTTTAGATAAATCTTGAGTTTGATCCAATATATGATTAAGTATAGTTGAATAAAAATACTAATTTTGAGGACAAAAAAACAACAGAAGAAAGCATAATTGAACACTGAGTGCATTGTAATTTAGCCTAAAATAATAAACAAATAACCTGTTTTATAATGGTTACTCATAACTTATATAATTTAAGTCAGTCAGTCACAACATAGAACTTCGTACGTATGTACATCAGTTCGAGTTCCCATACCACATTAACACACAGATGCAGTTGTCGATTCAAATCCCATAGTGGTAGAACTAGTAAGAGTATAAGCATTAATGTGAAAGATTAGGGTTTGAAGATATTATTCAAGTAGTATTATCCAGTGAAATAAATTTGGAAAGAGAAAAAAGATAGAGAGATGAAAAATTCAGAAGATTAGAATATGGTAGAACATGGAGAGTGGATGCATCTTCACCATTGCAAACGATTTTGAGCCATGTCATTCAAGGTCTTTAACCATCGATGTTAGCAATCGATGTTTAGAGAAGGTAAATAGAAGAAATCAAAGGCACATTCGTTAGTATGAAGAATGATAATACGTTACAGAAATTGAAGAAATCATGAGATAGTTGGAAATCAAACATTAAACCGATGATAAAGTGTTGTATGTGGTTGTAAGGTAACTACTGACTACGATGCATAGCTTTATGAACAAATAAAGTTTTTATCGGATATTCGTAACAGCAACTGTGAACCAGATGGCCTCCAGTAGAGATAGAGGTTCGAGGTTGGTTGACACTTTCCAGTTAAACTGTAAAACTTCACAGTCAGAGTATGAGTTTGTTAGTTATAGTCTTAACGCTTTTCAAACCCCCCTCCCTGGCATGGTGGAACCCAAAGAAACAACCAATACACAGCTAGATTGAGTCATCAAAAAAATATACACGTGCAATTACCACGTCAAGCTGACAGCTACAGTCTGGGAAACTGAATATTAAATCCAACTATTAAACTATGAATTCATACAAAAAATTTTCTATTATCACTCAGGAATATGCATGCATACATTTACACAGTTCCATTTTCCCGATAGGACATGATATTAAGGCTTTTAATTAGAAATACACAATGAAATCAATTTACTGATTACACACATAGTGCAAAGTCGATGTAACATACGAAGTAAAAATATAGATAATGTTAAATGTTTACGAAAGAACAACATTACTCTCATAATTCTATCAAAAGACTGATCTCGGTTAAGATATCATTCTATATAAGTAAGCATCAATGCCAAGGTTGGACTTGATAACTCTAAACAAATTGAGCATTGAATATATCACAAAAAATTATTTTATTCATTATGATTGTAAATAAGGTCATACCAGTATGTTCTAGTATGAAATGTCATATCAATATGTACCCAAGATCCATTCTGAGGGTGTCAGTTGGAACCTCCAAGTCTCGTGGTGAACGGTTGTTGTACAAATATTCCTAGTTTTTAACTATACCTGAACCGTATTTATTTATTTTATTTGAACACACAAATATTGGTACGAAAGGGCACTAGAAACATATGCGCCGCACAAATTTCATTTGATTTGTGTGAGGGCTGTGATACTGACCAGGTGCCTAAACCGAAGCAGGTGGTTTTCTTAAGGGACCACACCTGGAGCCTTTTACCTAAAGATCCGATCCACAAGGCAGTGGAGCATCGTAAGGAGATGCAGTCCCATGGTAGCCGGTGACCAACAATTGGTTCATATGCCATTTGTTTCTTCAGGATCTTAGAGTCAGCCCATGTGCACCATTGGTTTGGAATCAGGGTTTCCAACTCCCCTATGTGGACTTTCCGTGACCACCAACCCGGTTAAAGCGCCGGACATTTACTTGTCGTCCTCTCAATTTCGTTAACAACAGTAATGCCACGAGAAGTCAGTGAGTAGCACTTGCCTAGTAGAGGCTGTATACGTGTGGCCATGTGAGAGTATATTGAAAGGAAGAGCGGACTCTCCCCACTCTCGGCCATACCAGGAAATTTGGGGGCACTTGAACCAAGAACAATCTGTGAAGAAAAATAAATCAATTTTCAGAAAATATTTTCAACTAAACAATGAAAATGGTAACAAAACTTACAAATAGTTTTTCACTAAAACCGCTAACACAAATACGTAAGCCATTATCACGAAACGCTACATCTTGTCTATGAAACATAAAGAAGAAAATATATAAGATCTTTCATACATATATATGCATATATATATATATATATATATATATATATATATATATATATATATATATACTTAAAACAATGAGATAATATGAAGTATTTCAAAGAAGCATCTACATTTATTCATGAATAGTGTCAGCTGGAATAATTCAGTGTTAACATTAAAAATTGTGACATGAGTTGGAATTAGACTAGTGGTAGAAGGCGTAGGAAAGCACCAATTCGACCAAGATCCTAGATACGACTTGTAGACGATCGATGCCAACTTGTATGGCAATTAGATGAGGTAAGTTTTTTCGCAGATTATTGCCAACCATCTAACAGTAGTGTGCATGAAAAAACAACAAGTTAGTGGCTATCTGCACCCAGTATTTCAGTGGATAATGCACTAGCGTTCGAAGCAAAAGGTATTGAGTTCCAGTTTCAAAGTGAACCTTGGTGGAAATAGATTTATTTGACCATAGCCCCAAATGCCCTAGTATGTCCCAGAGTGGTGAGAGTCCACTCTCCCTCTCCAAATGCTCTCACATAGCCACGCGAATATTTAGCCTCCGCCAGGGAAATCCTACTCATTGCCTTCTCAAGGTATTACTGTTGTTTACGAAATTGAGAGGACGAAAAGCGAATATCCGGTGCTTTAACCGGGTTGGTGGACACGGAGGGTCTATTTAGGGGAGTTGGAAAACCCTCACTCCAAACCAATGGTACACATGGACTCCAGTATTCTAAAGGAACGAATGGCGTGTGAACCAATCGTTGGTCACCGGCTACCATGAAACCGCATCTCCTCACGATGCTCCACTGCCTTGTGGATCAGACCTTTAGGTTAAAGACTCCGGGTGTGATCCCCTAAGAAAACCACCTGCTTCAGTTTGGCCACCTGGTCAGTATCACAGCCCTCACACAAATCGAATGAGATTTGTGTGGCGCATATGTATCTGGTGCTTCCTTGTACCAATATTTATGTGTTTAAATAAATAAATAAATAAACTTTTCTCAACAAACAATAACGAACAAACAATGAATATTAACTTACACTAAATCTGCTTCACCAGCTTCATAGGTGATTGTACTCAATGACTGATTTAAGCCATAAACCATTAATGTATGCAGTGCCATGCTGTAAGAATTTAAAGATAAAATGAATATCTAACTTTTAAAAAAGTAAACAATTAACACAAATGCGATACAGTGAAAATTAAATAAACATGTATCTCAACTCATGATTTTCTGACGGCCTTCTTGAACATATTGGGCTACCTGTTCCAACCATGTCAACGAACATTCATGTGACTTAGTGTTAAGCAAACTGATACCCTTTACGTTGGAAACGATTGACTGGTATTTTTAAAAACTGAAACTGTAGTTTGAAACACAAACCCATAAATATTAAGGCTGAGGTTATCCACAGTGTTTTGTGGTTTAGTGAGTGTGATGGTTCTTATGATTTCGACTATTATTCAGTTCAGTTGGTAAGTGAATATTTGCAAAGGTTGTGATGTAAATTACCCTCTAACAAGTGTTGGATATAACAAACAAGCTGAACATTGAAAACACTGTGAATAATCTCCGGTTATATGCTAGTTCAAATGAAAAAGCTAACCCAATCAACACATGTATCAAGGGCACTACCTTATGATGTAAAATAGGAAGAGTGAAGGTTATCTATGAAAGAAATTGTTATTATTTATACTAATGTGTTCAGTTTAACTTGAAAAATAGATCATAAAAATGAAAAAATATTCATTACACCACTCCAACTTATGCCGATCAAAAGATACAAAATAATGAAAGTAGAATAATGTGAATCTTTATCGACCGAGATCGTTAGGCCACATGTTACGTATGCCTGAACACCGATCACCACAACGCGTAATGCTGACTAGTGTTGGAGTCAGTTAGAAGAACGTTAGGGGCGGTTAAACCAAAACGTGGCATCAGTCCATAAAGTCACAAACTTCAGGTCTGAGCCATGTTAGTAGATGAAGACCACTTGGTTGGGGTCCGCGCGACTACCGTCACCAATAGTCAGAGACTCGGGGTGACATGGCTCAGAATCGATCACAATGACGGGTGTATACACTCTCTGTTTTCCCTTAAGCTGTATCATATCCTTATATGCAATCTTTTTTTCATATATTACAACCATTGAAGTAACTGCGTCTATGAATTTAGTGTTCATCTTGTTGTGCTAGTGAGTGAAGTATGGTAACTAGGACCGATCCATACATATATGTACCTGGTCCTATGTTGTAGCTGACAAACTGATATCATCCACAAAATGAACTGTAATAAACACTATATTGGACAAAGTGGACGTTCTTTTCACTTAAGCGTATACGAATAAAAGTAACTAGTGAAAAGAAACGATATATCCTATTAATGATATCAATCTATGGAAATTATTGAAATTCTAGAGAGAGAAAATAGACAGAAAATTTCTAAAAAAGATATATACTCCTAGAGTTTATAACAATCAGTAACAACCTATAGACACATTGGATTAAAATCGATCAACCTAACTAGGCAATCAATATGAATACAAAAACATAAGGAAAACAATAATATCTACTAAGACAATCAGTTACAAATAATGCCACCGAATTAAACTGATTTAACGCTCGTGGAATAATTGAAAAGTTCACTTCTATATGAAGTAAGCTCGGACGATGATAATGATATCGTTCAAAAAGGAAAATGAAATTTCAGCAGTCAAATCATCTAGCAGTTCATAGTACTCAATAACACAAAAAAGGCATCCCTCACATAGGCTACAAATCGTCTTAACTATATACATGTATGTATATATAGTAATAAATCATTTCCCTGTTACATGACTTACTTTTCTTTTGTCTTCGATACAATATCCGACCAAAGATGAATCATTACAGAAGCTGTGAAGAGAAAAAAACAAAATAAACAAAACGGACACATTACTTATCAGCATGGATTTTTTTTTAATCACTGAATTTCATTAAAAACATGAACCGATGGTCAGTTGGTAGTTGATGAAGGGTTTGCAAATGAAGTATTGAATGTATGGTTTGTACATTTTATAAAAGAACTGTAATTTTGTGTCAAAATACAATCGGTTGTTCCCCACTTGTGTTATCGTTCACAATATTTAGTTTCACTGCTAACGAAGAGGCGGAGAGGGGGAGTATTGAGGATGTCGTCGCGAGGGCCAGCAGAGAAAGCACTGGTTAGGGCAGTCTGGTGCGAGAAGGTGATGTCGAATAAAGCGTTCTGCGGAGTGGCATCGGCTGTAGGGGTTGTTGTCTCTTACGAACTCCAAAGTTCCTTAGTTCCAGTTTTTATTACAACTACTTTCCTGTTCACTTCAATTCGATCTTCTCAATCTTCTGCTGCCAGGCATTATACTTGAGATTGATGTTACACACTACTTATATCTGTCAACATAAGTATCATACACCATACTATTACTAACAATGATTAAAATATAATGACTACCCATTCTTTTTTACACCTAAACTAACCTTGGAATTAAAGCTTATTTTCATAATTTCTCCTTTTATTTTCCTTTAGAGATTTAAGTGTAGGTCTCTGGGGGGACCAGAAAGCGGTTAGAATTCAATGTCAAGCATTCGGGTATCTAATATGATTATATCTGATTCTTGGGGGATAAACTCATCACGTAAATAAAGCTAAATTTCAGTAATACTCCTTTTAAAAAGTTTGAATGTACAGGATAATGGAAAATACAATTTTCTAGGTACATTATACATATCAAATTAATATGAAAATTACCTTTAGGACATTTAAAACGAGTACTTTGTTGAAACCATAAATGACCATATTTTAAACGTGATTCTGCACCAGGCTCCAAGTTTAGATCTACAGGTTGCTGAATATATATATATATATACATAAACAGGTAACATATAGAGGGGAGAAAAACGCTAACATTATGCAATACAATCTAAAGGGAGAACTGGGAACCAGTTCATATTTAATCATGACACCTAATATATACACACGTGTAATTTTTATATTTTTTCCTAATAGGACGGTTGTTCAATAGTTAAGGCATTCAACCTTTAGTCACTAAATCCAGGATTCAAACAGTGCTCCAGTTCGGGAAACTGGATAGTACCAATAGTATTTACACTTTGAATGTGGTTTGCAGACAGGTATATGAATCTATACCTGGTAAATGAGGAATTAAAAAAATTTTCCCGATGAAAAGGTGTTCACTTTTATACGATGTAATGTTTGTTGCAAGCGGTGTAATTTATTCCGTGGATGTTATTGCGTTTGTCTTCTGTTGTTGTTACGTCATTAGACGAAGGGGATCTCCGGTCCATCTACTAATACTCAAAAAATCCTATCGAAAGAAAACCATATGAATTGTTACCACATATAAATGTATACAGACAACTACTGATCCGAATCTCATTATGAATGTGGGAAAATACCGAATTCGGGGAATTCGAAAATCTCAGCGAATTTCGAGAAGCATTCCATTCGAGCCAGTCTACAATCAACAGGTATAATGAAATAGACTCTATTTATCAATCAATCACGTAGTCAGTCAGGCGTCAAAAAAACAATTCGCTCGACAAGGATACGAAAACAAATAAAGCCAAAAAACCCACAAGCAACCATTCATTGGCAAAGTCGTGAGAACAGATCAGCTTAATGATTGTGCATTAACTAAACAGTTGACAATTACAGTGAGAGAGAGATGAGAAGTATAATGTCCATAGTTAGGTGATGAGCAATGGTAAACAATGTGACAGAATGACTGTTAATTATTATTATTAGCTTTATTCAATATTATATTATTTGGTACAAAATCGAATTCTCAGCATAAAGTATTTCAACATGTTTACGTTTCTTATTTCTTTGTTGCTCCTGATGATAAACATTCAGTGATCGCCAGTTGGATGTCAGCAGTTCAGTCAATGGAAATATGAATAATGTATATTCTTTTTGCTGCATGTTCCCAGCAAACACGACATCTCTGATTAGGCCTTTTGTAACCTTTACAGTGAAAGGTCGTACAGTTTTCAGAAACGCACCGGAATAGGTTGTGTGCTTAATAGCCATAATGATGTATTAAAACAAACAATATTAGATAACTTGTTGAAATATATAGATGACGGGAAACAGGTAGCCCAGATGTTTAAGCAGGCCGCCCACTAGATCGAATTATTTAATATGATTCTTCTCTTCCTTCCCACTTCCATGACTAATTGCTGCTAAAAGATAATAAAACTAATTGAAAGATTGTTTACGATCCAGGTGTCAAATGTGACATACGTAAGTGCGAAACACTGAACACCTAAATAAGAAATGATATGACGTTAGGTGTTTGGAAGTAGTCAGCACGATATCCTGAACAATGATTATGTGCTAAATAGTACTCATAGGGGAAGGTGTGTCTATAATCTCTAGGGAATTGATTTCATCTCTCTGAGATGAATTCGAACTCATGTTGCCCACTCAGTGTCACAGTCTAAATCATTACCGCTGCACTAGTTGAGTAGCATTATTTAACGATGGAATTCGACCAGCACTAATTATTCAAGAGGAATGGAAAGCATTTATCAAGAACTCAACGAATTTGGCAGATACGGGGTTTCGTAGGTCGTTGTTAACGAGCAATAAAATGAAATTAAAAGGCGACACTAACAGGTCTAATTATTAATTTAATCTTAAATGGTTTGAATTATTTCGTTGTTCATATTCTGACTGAAATCTGAACAGTCAGGGCTGGCATATATGTATTCTGTGAAGATTGTTTTGATACAGACACTATGACAAAAGTTCCCATGGAATAGATGGAATACGACGAGCAGTAGGGACTCAGGAGACATGTTTCATTCTATTTGGAACCCATCAGCTGGACGTACCTGCATCCCAGAGTTGATGTTGACTCAGGGACTCGAACCCGTCGCACAAGCGAGCGGCCATTAGGGCTAAGTAGCTAAGTGGGTAATGTGTTGGCATTTGAAGCCCAACTATTATTTATCATGTGCTGAATTTACAATCCAATATATGGAAGATAGAAAAAAACATTTTTTTCGAATGAAGAAAACAAAAAGTGAACACTAACCTTCATATCAGTTTTCGAATCCAATAAACTAAAATCCGTTGCTACAATAGAAGAAAATTAAATATAAAGGCAGAGTATAACTAAGGAAAATAATGTAAACTGCATATGTTAAAGAAAGCTTTCAAGAAAAACTACACAGAATACAACAGAGAGATAGATACTGTAGTACCAGTTCATATGTTAGGCCCATATACTTTATTCTAGTTACTGGTCAAGCCAATTCACCTGTACATTGAGTCATCTTTTGATCTTGTTAATCATTTGCTTATTAACCTTGAGTACTTTTTATATGAGCGCATATGTGTACACTTCGTATCTTATTCATCATATGTCTGTCACTCATTTTTGCCTGCCTATAAATGTTAGTTAACGCTTGCTTAAAATGAGTTGGCTTCCCAGCCATCTCCAATACACATTATTTAGCTTCGCTCTCGAGTTGGCTTCCCAGCCATCTCCACTCTGCGTCATCTTTCCTTCGCTTGCTTACATTTGCTAATGTGCTCACTGCCTTCTAGCCCATGTTAGTTATCAATAAAAATGTAGTTGCTGCTTCCCTTTGTCTTCTGATATTATACACCGTTCAGATTGTTATAATAACGGTTATCAAGACGATCGATTAACGAAGCACTACACTACAATACTATAATATTAGACCATGTTATAAGTAAATCAATAACTGAAATGCGACACCATCAGTTTATAAAATCATTCATTGACTAATTATTACAGGAAACCAGAAAAATTGGGACAGATAGGTACTTCATAATAAAAGCCCTATTAAGATCATTATAAATGGCTTCCAAAGATTGTAACGATATATTTGGATGTGGATATCTTACAGATGCTTCTGATGTTTATGGGCGGAATGCTTGGGATGACTTCCAAGGGACAGAAGAGCAGGAAAATTTAGCGAAAGAAATGATACTTTTGAATAGCACTGTTAAACTCCCAGATGACTCTCAAGAACGAATTGAGACCCTTGCGCATGAATACTGGGACAAGTTTACTCTCATCATGAAGATACATTCTTCAAAGACAGAAATTGGTTAGAAAAAGAGTTTTATGAATTATTTTCTTCGACATCACCTAGCGTGCACATAATGGAGGTCGGTTGTGGTGTGGGGAATACGATATTTCCAATATTACGCGCTATAAAGAGTCCTGGACTGTTGATATATGCACCAGATTTCTCTGAAAAGGCTCTATCTATACTCAAAGAATCCAAAGGATATGATGCTGATCGTTGTATTACTTTCCAGCATGATATAACCAAAACTAATGATGAAATCCCTTGTCCTAAAAATAGTTTGGATTTTCTAGTCTTAGTGTTCGTATTACCAGCAGTAAATTCTGAATTGTTTCACCGTACACTTAAAAATCTTGTTACGTATATAAAACCCGGAGGTGTGCTATTGTTTCGAGATTATGGAAGGTTTGATTTAGCTCGGCTAAGATTTGTAGACTAAAAGATTCACCTAGTTTGCTGTTGTAGTCTGGCGTGATTATCATAACCAATGATTAGAAACAATACTGAATGATATGGCTTAGAATAGGTTGTATAGATGATAGATATATCCTCACCGATTGTTATCTCTTAGATGTTGAGTTTCAAACATTATTTTATTCTTTTTATTCTTTCTTCTTGAATCCTACTTTTCATGCTCATAGATTTCTAATGCAACTGATACTGTGTTACTACTTTTACTAGCCTGATATTTGTCTTGATAATTTTATATGGCTGTATTGATTTGGTGTGACAACTTGAATCGATGTACACGGTAGAATATGTGGAGATTATAGTATTTTAACAGTTAAATTAAAGAGTCAATCTAAGCTATACCATCAATGAAAACCTGGAGGCACTGAATGGCTGTTTCGTCCTAGTATGGGACTTCTCAGAAATGCGAATCCACGGTCTCGCACGCGAATGTTTGACCTCTAAACCACTGTGCTGGTATCCGACGGTGTCAAGTTCTGCATTAACTGAATTATTAACGACCAATCAATAATAGCACCCAGTCACACACAATTTTATCTAGTCGAATCAAGAACCTTAAGGCAATAAAGTGGATACTTCTAAAAATTTCCCCAGAAAACAAAGACCATACACACCTGTTCTATACTTTACAACTCAAAACAATATTTCTTAAAGTGGTGTCGGGTTTACGATCAAAAAACAACCGACAAAAATATGACGTTCCCAGTTTGGAGCGAAAGTTATTGGATTCAAGGACCAATGAGCCTATCAACGACAGTGAATTTTCACAGGTACATCCTCCGCTAACGAATACCAAATAGGATGAAACATACGCTTAGTAGATTCTGTTGCTAAGCCTACATGCGAAAAATATATACAAACACTAAACACGTTTTCAAGCAATAAAAAACGTACTCAAAAATTTATTTTCATACGGAAGATGTAATTGTTTATCGTCTGGTTTTGAATGGATCCACCCGTTCATAATATGTTCAGGTATATCTATTTTTAAAACAAATAGTATTCAATAGTATTAATGTAAAGATATAATCAAAGTGAACATGATGTTTAATTATAGTGAAGAATCCTCAAAACAAAATATTCAATAATGCAATAGAATTCTTAATATGTCTTGCTACCGATACGCCTAAACTATCTTCCTAGACGGTTCCTATAACCCACAGACTACTTCGATACGTCAACTGGAACAAAAAAGAGAAGGTGCACATTGTGAGTAAAAAGCTTTGATCCAAGGTTATTTTTTGCACAGAAAAAAATGAGGGTATTTAGAGTTACACATGACCTTTGGTCTCTGAAAATTTCTGGAACTATACTCCATATAGTAGCAGTACAGGTGAATATCCAACCAAAATATTGATAGGTGATTCTGGATTTTTTTAAATGTTTCTATGAAGCTTCCATTCGACACTGATTTGGATAAAAAGTTTAACGGCGTTTGTGAGTCTCTAAAGACTTTGATGAGAGATATTTTGGGACTACCTCAACGATTCCCAATTGATAAAGCATTTGAAGAGAAACATATGTCTAAACAGAGATTAGCTGTCATTTATATTAATTTGTAAATGCTTACAACAAGTTCTGACTTTGTGATATTGGTCTTTTTCAGCTGATTTATTTAATGGGTGAATTTTAGTCAAGTAGATCTCAAGTAAGCAAGAAGTTTGTATCCAACAACATGGTATAGACCAGCCAGATTGATATCACGTTTTGATTTGAACCCTCTCAGTTATTTCACAGTCTATTCTTAAGTCGAACAATACCATACATGAAAGTAAACAATTGGATGTGAAGCAGTTACCGACCGAAGACAATGAAATATGGTCTCGCAATATCATGGATTGATTGAAGTTAGACATTAACAGTGGTCATCCGTTGCTTCTAACATTGATCGGTTCATGATTTCAATGGAACTCAACAATCACCACAACCTTATAATTACAAATAAGTGATGGTTGGACATATGTAATACTTATTCCAGCTACCTCAAAGAATGAAATATTTACAATTTTACCCAAAACGATCAACCACCACTGACTAGAACCCCGAATCTACATGTCAACATTGCTGAGTCGCCGGTTCCAACATACAAGAGCAATATATTTTAGAGACACCTATAATTAAATACTAGTAACCTACAACTGTCCTGTACTTCTAAACATCAAGTTTTATATTACTATTAACCTAGCACGATAAAAATGGACAGCAAAAGAATAATCGTCATCATTATTATCAGTATCACCAAAGAACAACGATCATGTAAAGATATACTAATTAACATACCTTCTTTTTGATAAGCCACATTAAACCATGGTTCATGTTCTAATCTTGATTCATCATCTTTCACTGAAGATGCAAATGTTGATGACAGAAAGAATATAGCTGCACGATTTGGTGTCATCAATCTCAGTAGCTCAATGTACAACTGAAATTATACAAATAACAACAATAATAACCATTAAGAATGGGTACACAGTGATAGTGAAATGATGTTACAGTCAGTCAGTCTTAACATAGGACCTGGTATATATGTAGACCATGACTGGTAGCATAGCTAGTGTGGTTAAATCAAAAACTACATTACGAAGTACAATGTATAAATCCGTACTTGGCGAATGAGTTACTTTTACATAAAATAAAGATTTTGTTACATGATTTGACAACCTGAAGTAACAACACAAATGACAAATAACAGGAGTTTTCAAATTTATTCTTAATAACTCCCTAATTCGATCCCCTACTCTAACAATTTTGGAAATACAAAAGAAAGTCAAAAAGTTAATGACATCTCCAACAAAGGATGAAAATGTGGAATATATACCAGTAGAGTTATGGAAACTTTAATGTGATGATATACAGATGATGGGCTTCGATAACGATGTAAGGTATTAACTCTATTGAGCTACGAATGGAATTTCGACAGTTCGAATCACGAAATGATCATAGCCAGACAGTCCTTAAAAATCTGTGAGCATTGGGTAGACGTTTTTACAGCTATGGAACTCGTCAGTAGTGTGCATCCATGACCCTGTATCCGGAATTCGAACCCAGGACATTCGATCTCGCGCGCGCAAACCACCACAACAAACGAGGCTGACGAAATAGCCATCTAGTGCTTCCAGGTTTTCAGTGGTGATCTAGCTAAAATCAGCTCGTAATTTGAACTGTGAAAATGTTGCAGTCTCCATATACTATAAATGAAATTATTGACAAGATAAGGGAAATATAAGTGTATGTGTTCAATACGCACAGTAAAATGAATACACGAAGCAATATAGTACGATGTGTATTAATTTTAATATATGGTACATAAACTCAAGATGTCAACAGTCCAGAGAATCCTGAATAATTGGTCATGTATAGACAACAAAAACATCACACAACCCAATACAATCAGCAGTATTATTTCTCTCAGATAGCTTATTTTCGCTCCTACTGTTTCTAACCAACTAGTCTAGCATAGTAGAAGACCTCAAGGACATATTGTTTCCATCAAGATGATTCTAGTGAATCATATCACAACAGGTAAATCCAACAACCATCGAACATATTAAGTTAACTAATGATAGTCAAGTCTGAAGCATAACAATACTAAGTATAATAATATGACTTACTTCTATATTTGGCTTTTTCAATAGCCTATAACCAGAGTAAACATGTTCACATTTAACAAGATGTAACATATTGGCTAGATTAACTACTGTATCTTCAGCTTCTTCCGGTTCTGTATATAAAAAATTAGCTGTTTTAACCATTTGATATTCTGGTAGATATGTAGCGAATGTATGCTTATGACAGTGATCTGTATGAACGCGTTCACCATTATCATTATTATTACCTTCTAAACCACCATTCATTAAAGATATCGATGTAGAAGTTAACGCTGAGTGCAGTAAAATTTTTATATAATCAAATAATATTCCACAAACCTACATGTAAACAAATTCATAAAGACAACAATAACGCAAATAACAGATGTATTACATTACAGATTGATCATAGCTGAGCTAATGTTAAAAAAATGAGGTGGGACTGAACAGCTGTTTTATAGTAGCATCACTTATTCTAGAAATGTAATAAGTAAAAATGTTGGTTCAGTCAGTCAGTCACAAAGTAGAACTTCGTACGTATGTACATCAGTTCGAGTTGCCATACCACATTAACACACAGATGCAGTTGTCGATTCAAATCCCATAGTGGTAGAAGTAGTAAGAGTATAAGCATTAATGTGAAAGATTCGGGTTTGAAGATGATATTGAAGGAGTATAATCCAGTGAAATAAAATTGGAAAGAGAAAAAAGACATGAAAAATTCAGAAGATTAGAATTTGGCAGAACACAAAGAGTAGATGCACCTTCGCCATATTCGTCAGTCGACAACGTAGAACCAGGCACATATATGCATCGGTCCAAGTTGCCATACCTCGTTAGCACAACAAGATGAACACCAAATTCATAGAAGTAGTTAATTTAGCGATGGTAATATATAAAAGATAGGTTGTATATAAGGATATAGTATAGGAAGGAAGAAAGATATGAAGCAATTTTAATCTCAAGGTTTAAGGGAAGATAAATAGTGCATACACCCACGCCATTGTGATCGATTCTGAGCCATGTCACCCAGAGTCTCCAACCATTGGTTACGATAGTCACGCGGACCCCAACCAGGCAGTCTGCATCTGCCAACATGGCTTAGACTAGAAGTTAGTCACTTCAAGCACTGATGCCATGTTTTGGTTTGGCCGCCCCTAACTTTCTTCCAACCATCCCCTACACTAATCAAAATTGCGCGTCGTGGTAATCGGTGTTCAGGCATACGTAACACGTGGCCCAACCATCTCATTCGATGAAGATTCATGACCTCGTCAACTGATTTACCATCATTCCCTAATACTCTGCGTCTAATCTCGCTATTACTTACCCGGTTATCCCAGCAGATGCGAGCAATATTTCAAAGGCATCTGTGGTCAAATACTAGTAACCTACGAGTATCTTCTACTCTTAATGGCCATGTTTCACAGCCGTAAAGTAGAACAGAACGAACTGCTGCGTAGTATACTTGTCCCTTAATTGATAGACGGATATCTTGCCTTCGCCATAGGTGACGTAAGTTGGCAAAAGCCAAACGAGCTTTTTGAATCCGTGCTGAGATTTCGTCAGACACCAACCCATTAGGGCTGATCAGACTTACAAGATAAGTGAAGTTATCCACGCGTTAGACTACTTCACTCCCTATCCTTAGTTCAGGTGTTGACGCAGGCCAGTCCTGGAGTAACAATTTACATTTGGATGAGGAGAAATGCATCCCAAACATCCTGGCATTATTACTCAGTTCTAACAGATTACTCTGCATTTTGTCAGCGTCTTCACCAAACAGGACTATGTCATCTGCGTATTCTAAGTGGATCAATTCCTGAAAATCCAGTCGACGAGAGTGTTATTTTCAGCAATAGGTCTATAATGAAGTTAAACAAAAATAGGGATAGTGGACAGCCTTGTCGAACACCATTTGCGGTTGTAAAATCAGATGACAGTTCGCCACGAGCTCTCACTCGACTGGTAGTGTTTGAGTAAAGAGCCTTCACAAGGTTTATGTACTTCTCAGGTACACCTTTCAATGACAGACACTGCCACAGAACCTCTCGGTCTACAGAGTCAAATGCTGCTTTCAAGTCAAGAAAAAGTATCATTGTCGGAAGCCGATAAACATGTCTGTGTTCTAAAACTTGACGAATGGTGAATATGTGGTCGATACAGCCACGACCAGGTCTGAAGCCAGCCTGATTTTCTCGTGTTTGCAGTTCACGAGTCTTTGTTAGGCGCCCGATAATTACTGAGGCTAGTATTATAGATACTATGTTAGTCAAACTAATCCCTCTATGGTTATCACAGGATGATTTTGATACTTTCTTATATATTGGGACGATCAGTGATTGTGACCAGCCAGATGGGATTACGTCCATTTCCCAGATTTTAGCCAGAATATTAGTCAACCTAATCGCTAAAATTGGACCACCATATTTAAAGACCTCTGGAGCCAATCCATCTGGACCAGCTGCTCTTCCTCGTTTCAGATTACCTATAGCCTTTTGAACTTCAAGTAGGGTCGGGGGGCCTACTTCAATGTCCCATTCAGGTTTTCTGGGAATAGTGGTTAGTTGTGCAGTAGCTGAAGGCCAGCTAAACTGCTCCTTAAAGTGTTCCGCCCATCGTTCTAAACGTTTGGGTAGAGAGCAGATAGGAGTTCCGTCTTTTTCCGAGATTGTCTCACTTACACTTGACTTCTTAATTACGGTTTCTTTTATTAGTCTGAATAGTTGCCTGGTGTTGCCTACATCCGCTGCCTTTTCCATCTCTTTTGCTTTCGTTGCCCACCACTGCTCACGATCGTTCCTTAGACTTTTAGTTAACCTAGATCTAATTTCTTTACGCTCTTCGTCATGTTCAGAGCCTGATGGGATGAGTTTACGCGAATCCATCAGTGAAATAGACTCAGAGGGAATCCATTGGTTTTTGGAGCCCTATGGTTTGAATGATTAATAGATGTTACTGCTGTTTCCACAGCTGTTCGTGTGTCTTTCCAAGCAGCATCTGTGTCAGTCTCGTTTACAGAACTGCCTAGATGTGAACTCAGTTGTTTCTGGAATTCGCATTTGGCTTTCTCGTCCTCCAGTTCAATCCTAATGGGTCTTCTTAGTGTACTTTTCCTGCGTCCAGTGAGGCTCGTATTAAAGCGTGATCAGAGTCTAAACAAGTATTCCAATACGAGCGACAATCTTCTATTGAGCCTCTCCAACGATGACTGATGACGATATGGTTTATTTGAATCCATCGTTGGTTTTTTGCAGGTGGTCGCCATGTTAGACAATGTTTCTCCTTATGTTTAAAATTAGTGCTTGCTAAAAATAAACGATTGTCTGAGCATAGTTGCAACAGACGATCACCATTATCGGTTCGTTGAGCCGGAATACTAAAACACCCATCTAAATGTCTTTCTGTTTGATTTAAGCTGCCTACCTGAGCATTAAAGTCACCCGCTACGACTACTATGTCTGAGCGCTTAGCTTTCTGAAGAAGCTCAGTGAGCTTTTTGTAAAAGTCATCTTTCACTTCATCATGACTAGTCAGTGGGAGCGTAGGCAGAAACGACGAAAAGGCAACGACGTGTGTCCCTATCCTTCGAGTTCTTACGGAGCCATTTAACCGGACAGCACACAGGCGACTGTTAACGGGGATCCATTCTAGTAGTGCCTGTTCTGCCCTTGTACTTAGTGCTATGCCTACACCTGCAAGTCCACGAGAACTAGCCAACGGGTCGCCAGATACACGGAGGGTGTATTTCGTTGGCTGTCCATTTTGGCGAGGTGAGGTCAAGTGAATGATCACACTGGGATCCTGTATGAGTGTTTCGGAGACACAGCATACATCAATGGTACGAGATTCTAGGGTTTTAGCTAAGGAGGCCTGTTGACCGACTTGACTTAAAGTACGTACGTTGAAGGCTCCAATGTGTAGTTTGGAGCGAGGTTTTAGTAGACCTGAGACAGCGTTTCGCGCACTGGAATCGTTGGTCATGGTGACACTTGAGGAGGAAACCGAAAGAGGAAGTTTAGTGTTGAAAGTCAAGGTAGGAGGAATAGTAGGAATTGAAGAAGGAGATTGATTATGAATACAGTGGTCTTGAATGCTGTTAGAGGTATGAGGGTAGTTATCACTTCCCGATTGCCCACACCGTGGAAGGGTTCTTCTAGGGGTACCTGAAAAGGAAATTGGGTTAGAAGTGGTCTTAATGACCTGAGAGCGTAACCGCAGTGCCCAAGGGACAACTGCTTGAGGTCGGTCACACACGACCTTTTTGTGGGTAGTTTTTGTGTTAGCTCCGTTCTTCAAAGGACCTTACCGCCGAAGACGGATATCCGTGGGATAACACGAGGTGTGCATTTTTAGGATTGACCTTTTCTAACCCCACTCCTCCTTGTGGGAAGGCAGCATCGCTGTCATGCTGGTTGTCTGAAGGAAACACCTTACTGCTGTCACACCTCTGTACAGTCAGCATTACGACGTCGCCTTCGGACCTTGAGTTTGCTGCTTTTAGTCTCACCGCTCTTCAAACGACCTGCCTGGCATGGTAGGACCAGCCAGTATAGCTCGATTGAATCATCACGATAGGCAAGCCCGACCACCACGTCAAGGTAGCAGCAACGGTCGGGACTTCGCCATATTGTTGGTTAGCAAATCCTACATGTTTAAAGTAAACGTAATTATCATGACCAATATAGTTGGAGATGTTGAGTGATATAAGTCAGAATCAGTAATCGTAATCCAGGTGTGCATTCACTTTCGATCTTCTTCTAGATCTTCCATTTCCACTTTTGTTTACACATAAACTTTTAATTCTCTCTTATCAAAATATATTCTCCATATTCAACATTAATCATTAAAATTGTTACTACATCATTTCTTTATTAATTATTATTATCAGAAAGGGTTTTTGTGGAGATTTAGTATTTTCATAGTTGAAATCGTAAGTCGTGGATGCGCACTGCTGAGGAGTCACACAATAGGACGAAACGGTCGTCCAGTGTTTCCAAGTTTTCCCTGGTGGTCAAGCTTCAATTGACTCACGCTTTCAACTATGAAAATAACAATAATAACCATTATATTCGTATTAACAATGCATTAAGAATAAAAATTTACCCACAATAATAACAGTGAATTGAAAAAAGAATACACAATGATGACTTACTTGGAAAATATGATCACGACCATAATCAGTAAGCTGAATATTAACCGTAAAAATCGTACATAAACTAGAATTATCAAAATCTGATGTACAAGTAACACCCGCGCTAAGTGAAACGGCAAGATTTCTATATAAAAAAAAGATGATAGGTCACGATGAAGAAATGATAAACATATAGAACTTCATATAGAATATATGAAATGTGACTAGTATTCGAATTCACAAAGCATATTTTGGTCTAATCAGGACTCATCGGTTGGATGTACGAAGAGTTCATATTCACTTCATGATTCGGATTTAGCCACAACAGGAGCCTCAAATACAATGAAGTGAAAGTTCAAGAATCGAATTCTAGTCACATTGCATCCAATCCAAACTAACTTGTATTGTAATGGCTATATCCAGGAAATCTGGACAAGATACATATATGCTAACTAGAAGTGATCGAATGTTTATCAAAATATCAACAACCGGACAATCCAAACCATTAAAAATGAAATTAACATTACACTTTATGATGAAAACAGTGATATTACATTCTAATAAAAATAAATACAGAAATATTACAATAGGAGTTTTGTGAAGATTATTAAATTTTTATATTTTACGACACGAACTGATTTCCGTTAGACGACTATTGAAAACCAATTAACAAGGGACAGATGTTCCGTCCACGCACGATTCTGTCACCGATCGAATCTAGGATCTTTGGACTTGGCATTGAGGTTTTAATCGTTAGACCACCTAGTTGGCATCTAATGATTGATATCTAAATTCAATCAAATAGTAGTACTATTCAACCAACCAAAGTTATTAAAAATTGACTAAAGGTGTACAATGGATGCAGCACCGCTCAAGCTTCTAGCTTCCTTGGAAGAATCGACACTGATGATAAATCATAGTTTCACAAGTGTAACATCGAGTCAAACTTTTGAGAGACTCCTTTTAAACAATAGAAACAGGGAAGGAACAAGTACATTGTCATTTGTGAGGATATGATCTATGTACCCTCGATTTAATCAACAACACTTTTACGATCTCAGTTTATGTATTGATTGGACACACTACGTAAGTCTTTATATCCTAGATGAGATAAACAAACCAGCTATTACTAATTACCAAAGTTATGAGTCAGTGGTTAAGACTTCCGAATTCCAGTCAATAAGATATGGGTTCGAACCTTGCCTCACTTTAGTTCAAGTAACCAAGCTGCGTCACTAGCTGTCAAATTCGGTAGGTGAACGGAAATCAAGTACACGAGTCTGTATCTGGTTATGTGCTGATAAAAACAATATTAAGTAAGATTGAAGAGCTTTCAGATACTGTATTTTTTTTACTCCCTATCTCCCTCTCTCTCTCTTTCTGTTTAAACTAACCCATAAATACTTATGATTAAGAATCTATTCAATGTTGATGTTCAATTCAGTCAAACAGCGAAGACTGAAATTTTGATGAAAATACATAAACTCCAAAACGATCGGATTTTTATATTCGTCTATATAAATAAAATCAATATTCTTATAACAGGGTGTTAGATTTCACCGATTGCTTTTAATCTCAATTATTGAATCATGCATTAAAACAATTGATAGAATTTAAGTAATTAATATTTCAATCGATTTAGTGAAGTTAACTGGGTTAATTGAACGGTGAGCTCCAAGGCAATTAATTGGAATGAACGAATTCTTTTCCTTGTATTTAAAAAAGGGGGAATGGGCATAGGAAATCTGTCAACATTTTACATGCATAAGTTTATATGCGTTGAACAAGTGAATGGTGATCCGAACTTCATAATTCAGTGGATGACATATTGAAGTTTGAGGAAAAGAAATTGGACTCGAGTTTTAATGTAAACTTCAACATCCAGCTGGGAAGATCAAAATAACACTAAAAGACGTTTTCAATTTCTACTAAAAGTTATAATTCAAATATAATAAAGCTTGTAACAACAAGACTATACATCAATACAATCCTGAACAGGATCCATGCGTGTGTAACAGAGACTGATCGAAATTCTAGTTCTTCATATCAGCAATGGAACAACTCACACACTTACATACACAGACTCGAATACTCTTTAACTTATAGAATGGAGTAGTAACTTCCCCCAATAAACAAAAAAGCTGAATTCGGTAATATGAACCATGGAATAACAACTCAGTGCACTACTTAGTAGATTCCAGACCTAGTAGAGTTATGTGTTTGTGTACGTTTGCACTGTTTCAAGTGACTTACAATACCACAGTTAAACAGTTGTTTACATTATACTCCTATTTTCGATTATATAAACATTGTTCACGAACACTTCACAATATATACAACACACCATTAATTATTGGTTTGGCCGCCAAAACGTGGCATCACAGCTTGAAGTCACTAACTTCTAGTCTGAGCCATATTGGCAGATGCAGACTGCCTGGTTGGGGTCCGCGCAACTATCGTCACCAATGGTTGGAGACTCTGGGTGATATGGCTCAAAATCGATCACAATGGCGTAGGTGTATACACTCTTTATCTTCCCTTAAACCTTGAGATTAAAATTGCTTCATATCTTTCTTCCTTCCTATACTATATCCTTATATACAACTTATCTTTTATATATTACCACCACTAAATTAACTACTTCTATTAATCCAGTGTTCATCTTGTTGTGCTAACGAGGCATGGCAACTTGGACCGATGCATATATGTGCCTAGTCCTACATTGTATCTGACTGACTGACTGACTGACTTACTGATTAATTATTGAAAGCCATCCTTATTACTTTATTCTTTTATATTCTATTAATGAATTTCTATGAAATGATTCAATTATTTTATGAAAAGATACATTTTTCAATAATGTTCCCTTTTTATAGTGTATTATCATTTTTGATCAAATCTACTAAAAAAGAATGCATGATACAATCAATACATACATGACATGTTATTATTATCATTAATAATGTATACAAAACAGAAAATCGTTAGGTATACATATACACAAACACACACACACACACATACTCTCCTCCTACACTATGATCATTCAATGGTGCTTCTTTGAATATATAGAACTAATCAAATTGTTAAATATTTTTTTCAAGGTATTTTGTAATGACACCATCTTTTTGACATGGTTCATGTATGAGTTTTAAAATATTCATACCAATTTATAAGATTACTGTTATGTAATAAAACTATTAATATATAAGAGTTTGAGTGATGATTAATTGGATAATGATAAGTTTAACATGTACATATATTGATATAGATAGAAAGATATCAAAAGGGGGTATCGTGGAGATTTTAGTAATTTTATATAGTTGAGATCATGAATCAATTGAAGCTAGACCACCATGGAAAACTTGAAAGCACTAGACGGCTGTTTCGTCCTATTATGGGACTCCTCAGCAGTGCACATCCACGATCCCGCCTCACGGGACTCGAATCCAGGACCTATCAGTCTCGCGCCAGAGTACTTAACCGATAGACCACTGAGCCGGCCGGCATCCAATGGTGTTAATGTCTAACCTCAACCAATCCACAAAATTGCGCGACCAACTTCCATTGTACTGAGGTAGATACCTGTCTCTACCTGACATGGATTAGCTCTACTGGTCACAACTTCTCACTAGAACTACATGAATTACCTCATGGAGCCAGTCACTAGTGTGTATATGATCATTACCTGAAGGGGGTTTCGTGGACTGGTAGGTTCTGGGTTCGAACCCCACTAGGGATCGTGGATGCGCACTGCTGAGGAGTCCCACAATAGGACAAAGCGGCCGTCCAGTGCTTCCAGGTTTTCCATGGTGGTCTAGCTTCAATTGACTCATGATCTCAACTATATAGAAAGATATGTTTATTAATGATTATGTTATTGTCTTACTAAAACGATGGCATATTGAAAGAAGTACAATTTTATGTATCCCTTGTTTTGTATCACATGAAAATTGCTGATATGAAATTTTATTAGTGAAAAAAATGTGATACTCTATATGGTAGAACAGTTAGACGAGTGTAACCAAATTAGTTTTGTAATTAATATACTCATGAAATGACCCAGTGACTTAATGGCTAAGGTATTCCACTTTCAGTTGATAAGCCGATGGTTTCAACCCTAACTCAATCTACTTTCTTCACGGCAACCAAGTAGTGTATTACTAGCCTTCACATTCAGAGCGTAACTCAAAGCCAAGTACACGAATCTGCGGACCTGATGAGTTGAAATATAAACAACAAACGTTTAGCGGGTACACAATTATGCACATGGCTTTGAGCAATGCTGCATCCCAACACTCTCATGTTACAGTTATGATGGTATTATGAAGTTGTTATCAAATTGAAGTGTTAGCGGAACACTGTTCACACCTATAACCTACAGATACTTGGCTGGAAGACTCAGAAAGAAACACGATTATGAATTATTTATTATGTATACATAAATAGGTTATACCACCAAAGAAAAATGTAAAAAAAGGTTACTGGATAATTTGATAACTAATTTTGGGGTTAGGGCTAAATCAGTCGTAATCATTGTAGAGCCTGAACGAAATGTGCATTAACCCAAATGTTCATTTCACAAAACAATCACAAATCACAAACAGATCGAAATAATTATTATAACAATGATAATGAGGAAGATTAGAGACAATATAGAGAATGAACAAAGATGGATGGTGGCTGACAGTGGAATCCAGGACGCGCGTTTCGTCCCTTTTGGGACTCGTCACATGGATGTACCTGTATCCCAGAGTTGATGCTCACTCTTGGACTCGAACCACGATAGGACAGGACGCGCGACCTGGGTTCCACTGCTAGCCATCATCCATCTTTGCTTATAATGTTTGTGACTTAAGGCAATATTGAGGCGATCCGCACAGGATGCACGTACGCCAATAAGAGACCAACCAAGTGCAGTCCTAAACATCAATGGGAAGGTTCAAACAAACAATACAAAAATGAATATAGAGAATATTAATTCGAGAAATATTAAAAGAAATACCAGAACTCAAGATTTACAGTAAGATAAAGAATAGATACATCTATGTACCATTACCATTGATTCTAAGCCAGGTAACCCATCTTCAAGCACTGATAGTGTGATTATCAAACATTTCACAGTCAAGTGGTCTACATCTACGAAACATTTCACAGATCATCAGTTAATAATAAATGGAATGATAATTAAACACAATACTTACTCTTTTTTAAGTAAAGCCAATACACTTCCTCTACCTTCATGACCAATAAGAGAAGATAATACTTCCATTGGAGATGATCTAAAATGAAACGGTAAAAATACATAATGTAACGCAAGATAGTAACACTTCAATGATTATGCGATGTTTATCTATTTATGTAAACACAAATATTGGTACAAGGAAGCACCAGATACATATGCGCCGCACAAATCTCATTCGATTCGTGTGAGGGCTGTGATACTGCCCAGGTGCCCAAACCGAAGCAGGTTCTTTTCTTAGGGGGCCACACCTGGAGCCTTTGACCTGAAGATATGATCCACAATGCAATGGAGCATCGTAAGGAGATGCCATCCCAACGACTGATTCATACTCCATTTGATCCCTAAGGGTACTGGAGCCCATGTGCACTATTGGGTTGGAATCAGAGTTTTCCAACTACCCTAGATGGATTTCTCGTGTCCACCAATCCGGTTAAAGCCCCGGACATTTGCTTTTCATCCTCTCACTTTCGTAAACAACACCCCCGCCACGAGAATGAAGTGAGTAGGACTTCCCTGGTAGAGGCTATATACGCGTGGTCATGTGAGAGCATTTGGAGAGGGAGAGCGGCCGTACCAGGGCATTTGGGGGCGATGTATTTTCTTTTGAATATATAGTTAAATTATAAACGCTATCAATGAAAAAACAACAGCAAATCTGTAAAATTGTTGTTGGGTTGAAATATCTAGACTAAAAATAAACACATGTTTGAAAAACAAGTTAGAAAATTTTTCAACAGTTAACTGACAGTGGATCATATGTGTGAAGTTGTGAGTGAATAACTCATTTAATTAAATCGCCTAGGTGTGACTAGCACTGACAAAAGTTCATATTTCCCTCTTTAAATGCTTACACCTAGAACCCTGTGTTTTGTATGGAAGTTTGATTCACTGCTTACATTAAACTGAAGTGTTTTTTTAACAAAACCAAGGAGGTAAAATTGCCGTAGTGGATATAGAAGTCCCATATCCAGGATAGTTGATAAACACTAGTGCCGAGTCAACGTTGCACGGAGGCTCCAGGGTCATAAGAGAATGACTGAGCCGCGAACATACTTTAATTACAGGTACTATGGGATCTAAACTCGCAACATTGAGCCACTTAGTGAATTAAACTTTTAAGTTGAAAGTTAGGTGAACAGTTCCTAAAGAAAAATACATCTCTTAGTTTAAGCTTCCGGACAATATCTCAACTATCTCAACTCATGTAATGACGATCATCAATCGAGAAAACAAGTTTACCATTGCATTTACACCAATCATTTAACTGTGATGCATATATTCAATCTGCCATGTAAATATACCCATATGTGCCTGAAAATACATGCACGTTTATTAACTATTTTTATCTATTCTCTTTTACGGTGATAGTTGGAGGTATTCAACAGGAAATGCTGCTCCACCTACATTTCGTACTACTCAACACTCGCCAGTAATGTTCAACTGCGATCTCAAGGGAACTGATGCTGCCTGATAGATTCGATTCCGTGTCACCCAACTTTAGAGTCAAAGATTTTACCACTGAGCTATCAGGGTCACGATTGACTTCCTATGTGACTGAGATTTATTTATAACTGACTGATCATTGAGGAGTGATCAATATCATATCATATATATATATATATATATATATATATATATATATATATATATAGTACTTATCAGTGCTGATCGAATTATATAGAGCATTAATGGCGTCAAGATTACAGGTACACCTTGCTGACTAGTGCCGAATAACATGAAACCTAAGTCCAGAGTTTCCTATCGACTACTTTCGACCACCAACTTACATTTCAACATAGTGCACGCGATATCGAGTCGCTTCGACTAGTGACCACACTGCAACATGATAAAATTCAATCAACACTAAGAAGGACTTGACAAATATAACATTGCTCACAACTCAGTGATCAATCAATTGTACATCTATTCTGTTGTTGGTTGTGAATGCACTCAGTAAAATATTCATAACTTATTTATATATTCATATTGGTATTCACAAAACAACCTATTCAACCTCTCCTCTTCATTCATTTGACTGATAAATGTATGATTTGTTGAGTTAAATGACTTGTAACAAACTGATTCTAAATTAAACTGTATTTACATTTTGAATTTGTCGAGTGGGAGTAAATTTAATAACATAATGAGAATTAGCCTAACACTACATATATACGGAGTTTTCTTAAGTCGATGGTACAAGAATTCAGAGGAACAGGAAATAACATACAAACATGTTACTAATCCCTCAAATGAAAACTAAATCACTGATACAATAAATGAGTACACAGATTCATACACTTCATTTCGAGTAATAACAATAATATTAATAGGACCAGTAACTGAATGAAACCAAGTGTACAGATTGAAGTAGTTGGGAGGGAGTCGAATTTATGACCAAGTGGTTGAAAGTAAGACATCTCAACAACACCGAACCGCAGATCCACGTGTTTAAATCAACCACACTATTAGAAATAATCACAATTACTCAATTCTTTTAACCTACGCAACGGCAATAACAAAAGTAACAGCTAACTAACTTGTAAAACTCATCATTATGATCAACACAACTTACTCATAATGATTAATTAGTGGTGGAAGAATCCAAACAATACGTAACTTCTCCTTTACACTCAAAGGACAAACTGTTGACATCATTAGAAAACAAAACAAAAAAAATACAGAAAGAAAACTACATATAATGATGATGAAAAAAATCCAAACGAAAAGATAGCGTAACAAGTTTCTCAATCCAATCAATGATTATAGTAACGATGTTTTCTAAATACTAGCCAGTTATTTGATTTTTTAACTGGATAGGTAGTATCTAGCACAGATTGATTTAAGTTAGGGTACCATTGAAAATCGGGGAGAGCTAAATAGTTGTTTCGTATTGATATGGTACTCCTAAGCAGTGAGCATCCATGAACCTATCAGGAATCGAATTCAAGACCTTCAGATCTCACAATAAACTTGTGATTATTATAACTATTTGACCGGCGTCCATTACTACTCTGGTAACTTCAGTCAATTTGCGATATAGCGCGGCGACTATCTAATGCCATTTAACTGATAATTCTTTCACTACCAACCTGTCTAAACTCCATCAGTTTAAACTTCTCACAAGAAATTAGATAATACTTTATTAATCACACATAAGGTTGTTCACTTGAAATTCTGAGATACGTTTTATTTGAGGTATAGTAATGCTATTCGGCTGGTCAAAATAAAGTACGCGAATTGATCTTTAAACCAACCTACCTAACCTACAGTTTGAAAGCCAAGTTATTTAAACATTGACTGATGTAAAATACCTTACGGTAACATTGGCATATAAAACAAATGCCCTGGCACGGCTCGAGGGTGGGAAGAGTCCTCTCTCTCTCTCTTGAAATGCTCTCACATGGCCACCTGCATACAACCACTGCCAAGGAGGTCCTACTCACTGTCTTCTCGTGGCGGGGGTGTTGTTTACGAAATTGAGAGGACAAAAAGCGAATGTCAGTTGCTTTCTTACACAATCTGACCTTCCATAGCTAATATTTTCTACCATAACTACCTTTACAACTCTGGGATTAGGAATCAAACCTAAAAAACTCACCAGAATAATTTATTAATAATAAACTGAAGTCAACAATATTGCCCATCTTGAGGATTTTTAAGTGGAATTAATGATGTTTTAGCTTACGGATAGTGTGAGACTTGGTAGATGAATTCCGACTACTATTGTTGATCTCTAAATGCAGACAAAATAGTTAGTTATAGTTAATGTGACCTAATTTTTTTCAATGGCTCTTCCGATAATGTTAGCTTGTAACGAAATCATTTTATACTCACCTTTGTATAATTTAGCAAATGAATTAACATCGAAAGGTTCAACACATTGTAAGTTTGTTACAGGTAGTCCACTAGAATGATAAATGATAAAACAGAAATATAAGAACAAAATATAAATAATCATTATATTATCAAAATTAAAATTCAAGACTTATTTGAGGGATATTTTTCGTTCAACCATTGTCAAAAGATAATTCTATCCACTTAGTTTTGTCATGTTAACACTTTATGTGATATATATGGTACAGAGATGACAACGATCTGTTAACAGCTTTCACCAACGAATTCCATGCCTTACATGAAGACTATGTCAGTATATGACAGGGTGTCGTGGTTTGGAAGAAAGCTGTACAGGATTGGAATCGGTTGAGCCTTCAAGACGGCTATTTCGTCCTACTGTGAGGCTCCCCAGAAGTACATAGCCACCATCGATCAAAATCAGAACTTTTGGGCCTCGACATGAATGTCCAATTATAAGACTAATGAGTTGGCATCCGACATTTCACACCTACAACTTCAATCTCTTCGTAATATTGCGCAAACATCTACCAATGTCATTGGTGGGTAACAGTTTCATATTCGACACGGTTGAACTCCATAGGTCACAGTTTATCAGTAGGACTTCATGAATTACTTCTTGATCATAACTATTACAGTACTAAGACCAGTTGTGTAGTCCTTCCTACTTCTCAATGATTGTATAACTAAGGTCAGTTTGTGATACAAACTACGCAACTCGATAATCTCTATATATCCCGTACACAAAGAAGTATTTTTATTGACTGATAACAAATTAAGGATAAAAAAATCATATTTGTAAAATCTCAGCGATTAAATTTCAAGTAAAGCCAGCGTTTCGCTCAGCAATCTGGTCTAAGCTTTTCCAAGGAAATATAATCAAACAGGTGTATGTTATCTAATCATATTTTTCTTTACACATCAGATGTCTCATAGATACTATAGCGAATTGTTACTTTTAACATTGTCAACATAATCGGATGACCTCCTCGAGTATACACTTAACCAGAAAGCCATGTAATTATTTATATTCAATAATTTTGATGTTTGATTATATTTCCTTGAAAACGTTTGGACCAGATAACCTAGTGCGAAACGTTGGATTTACTTAAAATTCAATCGCTGAGATTATAAAAATATAGTTTTCTTTCCTAATGCATTACATTAACTCGAAGCCCAACTACTATGAAACTATTCATTCAAATTTAGTTGAGCGTTTATAAGTATCAATGCCAAGGTTAGACTTGATAGTTGAAGCATTGGATGGAAAGTTAATAAGAAATATATTTTTTATATCCAAATGAGTAGAAAGATGGCATTTCAGATGTTTGGGAATCAATCTAATTCCCTCCTTCAGAGTAAAGAAGTGCCTTACATTAAGTCACGAAACATCATTCGGACATAACAAAAATATATTTACTATTAGGTCAAGTTATTCTTAATAGTGATAATATATTATCATACAACTTACATTTTTGGTATATCAGAGAAAATTTTTCGTACTAGTACTTCCAGGTCGTCTAAATGATCTGAAAAGTGATTTTTTTTAAACAAATAAATTAACTAAATTTGAATAAAAAGATTGTGTTTTTTTAAAATAAAAGTTTAATGACGGGGAGGTGAAGCGTTGTACGAGGTGAGTAACTACTACTACTACTATTACTACTGAAGGGCGCTAATCTCTATCGACTCTATTCTGTTATATCGATTGTCTGCGTGCCCTGTTTGATATATGACGTTAAAAAAACCGCCAATCAGAGAGGAGTGAATTGTCGATCAGAGCAATGATACACAAAAGCCGTATGAGCAGTCTAGAGCCCCCAAATCCCCTGGTACGCCAGAGAGTGAGGAGAGTCCGCTCTCTCTCTTGAAATGCTCTCACAGGGCCACGTGTATATAGCCTCTGTCAGGGAAGTCCTACTCACTGACTCGTGGCACCCGTTTTGTTTACGAAATTGAGAGGATGAAAACGAATGTCCGGAGCTTTATCCGGGTTGGTGGACACAGAAAGTCCACCTAGGGGAGTTGGAAAACCCTGATTCAAAACCAATGGCGCACATTGGCTCCAGTATCCTGAGTGAACAAATGGCGTATGAATCAATTGTTGATCACCGGCTACCATGGGACTGCATTTCCTCACGATGCTCCATTGCCTTGTGGGTTAGACCTTTAGGTCGAAGGCTCCGGGTGTGGCCCCCTAAGAAAACCACCTGTTTCAGATTGGGCACGTGGGCGGTATCACAGCCCTCACACAAATCGAATGAGATTTGTGAGGCGCATATGTATTTGGTGCTTCCTTGTACCAATATTTCTGTGTTTAAATAAAATAAATGAATAATAAGTTAACTGCCTAGCCCCACCAGTTAAGTGGAGAACATCAATAACAACCTCTGCAATATGAATTATTACTCTCAAACACACTGGGTTTATATACCAAACAAACTGAACACATTGTACCATAGAATAGAAAATAACATTTGTATAAGATTTGGCTAAATGTGGCTGTGAATAGGGGGAACAGTAATTAATAGACTGGTCATAACTCAAGAAAGGTAAATCGTACGGTAATAGTCTATGGGTCAAAATAAAGCTTATAATAAGAAGAACATGAATAAGAATAGTTAATTTACTTAACAATTATACAATAGGAAATACACATATCTTATTGGTCCATAAATAGTTTTCAAAGTTACCATTCATAAATCGCTTCGGGATATAACATATTCATACGTTAAAACTACTCAACTACGTATTTCCTTATTAAAAATGAATCACAAAATTTAACAGTCAAGATATTTCCGGATTCCAGTTTACATGCTCAACGCTGTTTTGTTCCGATATTTCAGTTATCCTAAACAGTGCTAATGCTTGTGAATTCAAACAACTAGTTTAGGATTTCTGGTCAAATCAGAAGCGACCATTAAAACTTGAAATATATATTATGTAATGTTAAAACTATACAAATGTGTTGATTATTCATTTTGCATTCAATTGCTAGAAGTGATTACGTAAACAATACTGTTCTTTTTTATGTGAAGAGAGTGATTGGCTAAATACTAAATTTAGACGATACTAACGAATTGGTTTGTGCCAAGTTTTACGGTTAAAAAGAGCAAGTGAATCAGTTGTACAAGTATTGACTAATTTACTCACGATCAAAATATGTTAATTGAGATTAGTGAACTTGATAATTTACAGTGTGAAACGGCCTAAGTTTAAAAATTCTTTAAAAATCAGAAACTACTGGAAAGTTGTTTTCTTCCTGTTATACCTCGTGGAGAATTATGAATGGCAACTTTGAGAACTATTTATGGACCAATAAGATATGTGTATTTCCTATTGTATAATTGTTAAGTAAATTAACTATTCCTATTCATGTTCTTCTTATTATAAGCTTTATTTTGACCCATAGACTATTACCGTACGATTTACCTTTCTTGAGTTATGACCAGTCTATTAATTACTGTTCCCCCTATTCACAGCCACATTTAGCCAAATCTTATACAAATGTTATTTTCTATTCTATGGTACAATGTGTTCAGTTTGTTTGGTATATAAACCCAGTGTGTTTGAGAGTAATAATTCATATTGCAGAGGTTGTTATTGATGTTCTCCACTTAACTGGCTGGGCTAGGCAGATAACAGGATCGAGTAGTGCTCTAGACTGCTCATACGGCTTTTGTGTATCATTGCTCTGATCGACAATTCACTCCTCTCTGATTGGCGGTCTTGTAACGTCATAACGTCATCAAACAGGGCACGCAGACAATCGATCTAACAACTGGGCAGCCACTCAGCCACAACTTATAACACTTTCTAATATGGGACTCTTTAGCAATATGAATCCACTATACCAGAGGCGATTAAACTCAGGACATTCAGGTCTAATGATGAACGCTCAACATTTGGACCACTGACATAGCATCTAACAATTTACACGTCTAACTTCAGTTACTTCGTAACATTGTGCAACCATCCTCAATACAATTAATATGGTACTGACCGGGCTTGATTACCGGTGAGATGGTGGATGAGCATTGTTGATGAGTTTCATTTTACGGAAAAACATCTATCCAGTGAGCTGCGACAGAGTTGGAGGTATTGTACACTTTCTCTTGTTACTTGAGTCCTTTTTGGCTTCATTATCCAATTCAGTTAATATGTTTAATGGCATATCCGGCTTTAAATCACTCCCAGTCTCCCACTTTTGTCTAGTCGACCGTAGTTGGCTTACATGCTGCACTAAGATTTGTTCTCCGACTTTTTCTTCATAAATGACGTTTCTTTTTCGGTAGATAATAGTCTCAATCTTCGAGGTTGGCTCTACTCCATGGAAATCTCTTGCTACTACCGTTTGCTCCTTAATGAACTCTCTGGACAATCCACCATGTCACTTATTAAATTGTTGTTCCATTCGTTTATCGTTGCACAGACTAGTTTTGGGTTTTGGTTTTATTTGTTCTATTGGTACTCTAATCTCCCTTCAAACATCTCTTATGTTGGACTTTCTTGACTAAATGTTTCTGGATTTGGAATAGCGCTGTGAGTTAGCAAACGTCTTTGAATGACATCCTCCATTTCTCCTTCTCGCTCAGCTTTAAGCAGTGCTTTTTTAAAGGTGACCACAAATCTCTCAACTAAACCGTTAGACTGAAGGTGTTAGAGGGGGTGTCTTGATGTGCCTAACGGCATCGGCGATGATAAACTTGGAGAATTCCGCGGAGGTAAACTGAGGTCTATTACCCAATACCAACACATCTGGACACTCAAAAATGCTGGATACTTGCCTCAACTTTTCCACATTAGCTTTCGTCAATACATACTTCATGTAGTGAACTTCTGGGCGTTTGGAGGAAGCATCGATAATTACCAAGAACTGTTTCCCATTTATGAGACCGGCAAAATCCACGTGCACTCTTGACTATGGCTTTGTCGTAGCTCCCTAACTTTTCATTCTTGTCTTTCAATAAACTTTAGCGGTTTGAGCACATGAAGAAAATTTCGCAATACATTCTTCGATTTGAACATCCATCCGTGTTATTTTATTTATTATTTATTTAAACACATATATATTGGTACAAAAGGGCACCAGGTACATATGCGCCACACAAAATAATGAAAGTAGGAAGAGAAAGGATGAAAAGATAACGCGGACTAAAATGTACAACCAGAAGACTCTTTCAAATAGGAAAGTAAGAACCATACTTTATGTAGAAAGTAAAAGAAGGTTGCAGCAGGATGGCCACTGGCTTCTATTCTGAGCCATATCTGATAACGTCTCCAGCCACTGTGTTGCACCATCTCTCGGACCCCATCCAGGGAGTCGTGAAGGTCCAACAGAAGCCAGTCCTTTGCAGCTTTCTTTCATGCCACGACACCATGTCATGCACTGACCTCCTCTCCGCTTTTTCCAACCAGTCCCAGGGTCGGCAAATAATGCACGACGTGGAAGTCTCTGGGACGACATTCGTAAAACATGTCCAAGCCACCGAAGTCGGTATTTCAAGATGGTGACACCAATCGAATTATCGTCTCGGCGCCCGAACACACGATGCATTACTAACATGGTGTTGCCACTGGATGTCAGCAATCCTTCGGAGACAACGATGATCGAACACAGAGAGACGTCTAACATCCTCAACTCGGAGAGGCTAGGTTTCACAAGCATAGAGCAAAACTGCTCTCACCGACGCGTTGTAGATCCGACCTTTCACAGCCAGACTAACATCACGAAGGCGCCAAAGATGGTACAGATTGGCACAAGCCGCTCTGGCTTTCATTATACGTGCATCAATCTCATCACTCACACCACCACCAACACTTATATAGCTACCTAGATACACGAACTTCTCAACTACCTCAATCTGCTCACCATCCAGGGTGAGTACAGGATGAGAATCCTGCCAGTCTTGTAGGAGTACTTTGCACTTGGAGGGTGCAAAGCACATGCTGTACCTGCGGACACTGATTGCCAACTGATTAAGTGCGGATTGCATGCCTTGGGCATTATCGCACAGTAAGACAATATCATCCGCATACTCAAGGTCGAGAAGTCGTTCTCCAGGCAATATATCCACACCGCCAATACTTACATCCATCAGAGCTGTTTCCAGGATGTCATCGATGGCAAAGTTGAAGAGGAATGGTGAGATTGGGCAACCCTGCCTAACCCCACTGCTCGAATGAAACAAGGGAGAAAGGTGGTTGTATGCCCTCACTCTGTCTGAGGTGTTCGTATACAGGGCCTTTAAGATGTTAATGAACTTCTCAGGCACACCCTTCTTCAATATACAATCTCGGAGAACAGTCCTGTCCAACGAATCGAAGGCCGCCCTGATATCAAGAAACACTACGATTGTTGGCCTGTGATAAGTATGACGGTGTTCTAACATTTCGCGGAGGGTGAAGATGTGATCAATGCATCCTCGACCAGAACGAAAACAAGCCTGCTCCTCGCGAGTCAATCGTTCTCGGGTTTTAATCAACCTACGAAGAATGACAGAAGCCAATAGTTTGGACGCAATCGGAAGTAGACTTATCCCCCGATAGTTGTTACAGGAACAACGTGAACCCTTTTTAGAGATAGGGACGACTATTGACTCATTCCATGATGTTGGAACACTTTCTTGCTCCCAAAACTTTCCAAACAACACAGTCAATTCCGTAGTCAGAAAGTCACCACCATCTTTAAAAAGAGCCGGAGGTAAGTCGTCTGGGCCAGGTGATTTGTAACGTTTCAAGAGTTGGAGTTCCTTGCGGACTTCCGCCTCGTTTGGTGGAACAGTCGTCACCGGCCATGGGGGGCAGGACAAACTGGTTGATGTTGCCGGAGCAGCAGGCCAGTTGAACTGCCCTTCGAAAAATTCCGCCCATCGTCCAAGACGTCGACAGATGTTAGTGATTGGCATCCCGTCATCCTCGTAGATTGTTTCACTCACACCAGACTTCTTGCTGCCAGTGGTTCGGATGAGTTGGAAGAGCTTCCGGCAGTTACCAGATGCAGCTGCTGCTTCCATCTCATTAGCAAGCTCCTACCACCAGGCTTCCCGGTCCTTACGCAAGCTTTGCCCGATCTCATTACGTAACAGCCTTCGTTTGTGGTCAAACTCACGGTCACCCGGAGTAGACCGACGGGCTTCCATCAGTTGTAAGGAGCCAGAAGAAACCCAGTGCTTGTAAGCGGGACGTTTTGCGAAGCCGCAAGCGGCTTTACTCGCCATTTTCATGGCGTCGTGAAGATGCAACCAATGCTCATCTATACTTTTCGGTGGGATGGTAGCTAGCCTAGAGGCTAATTCCGCTCGATACTTACTTGCAACAGATGTTGCAGCCAGTTTACTAACATCAATCCGTTGGTGGTGGTCAATCCTTCGGCCACTGAAAAGTAAGGTGAGATTGGAGCAGACCAGGGTATGATCAGAGTTCAGATAGGTACTCCAAAAGGAGCGGCAGTCTTGTACACAACCACGCCAGCGGTAGCTGATCGCGATGTGATCAATCTGAGTCCAGGCTTAAGATGCAGAGGGAGGACGCCAGGTGGCACACCGGCGATGACTGTGCCGGAAGTTAGTGCTGGCCAGAAACAGGTTGTGGTCTGTGCACAGTTGCAGCAAACGGTCCCCGTTATCTGTCCTGCGACCAACAAGTCCCCATCGGCCACCTAAACGACTCTCTTCTGTGCCTAGACGCCCGACCTGAGCACTCAAGTCTCCGGCTAATACTACAATATCTGTCGAACGCGCTTTCTGGAGAAGAACTGTTAACTGGTGGTAAAACTCATCCTTCATTGCATCCGGGATGCAATCTGTCGGGGCATAGACGGAGATGACGAAGAGACACCGTTTCTCACGCCGGTTTCTTCTCACTTTGATGGAACTTTCTAATCTAACAGCACATAACCGGCTGTTAATGGGGATCCAATCGACTAGTGCTGCCTCAGCCCTAGCGCTTAGTGCGACACCAACGCCAGCAAGACCAGACGAAGATGCCACAGAGTCCCCGGATAAGTGCACGTGAAACAAGCTTTTCGAAGCGACAGATGGAGAGCGAATTTGTAGTACTTCACTAGAGTCTTGAATACGGGTCTCGGATAGACAGCAAACATCAACATTAAGACCTTCTAAAGACATAGCCAGCCCCATCTGTTGTCCGATCTGCATTAGTGTGCGAACGTTGAAGGAAGCCAGCTTGAATGGCGTACGTGGTTTCAGAAAGACTGCCTCAGTATTCGTAATCGGTGGAAGCATTCATTTTCAACTAGACAGTGACTGGAGATCGTTTAGATAGGACAGAGTTTCTACCATGGGCGAGCTACTGCATAAGTTGGAAAGGAAAGATACACAATTTGGGAATAAAGGGACTGAAAAAGCGATGTAGTAAATAATAGTAATAATAATAATAATAATAATAATAATAATAATAATAATAATAATAATAATAATAATAATAGTGTAAATTGTCTTGCTTCTAATATGAGGGAGAATAGTATCGTCAATAGAATTCATCATTTCATTTATTTGTGTGTGGGTTGTGATACCGCCCGGGTTCCCAAACCGAAGCAGGTGGTTTTCTTAGGGGACCACACCCCGAGCCTTTGACCTAAAGGTCTGATCCACAAGGCAGTAGCGCATCGTGAGGAGATGCAGTCCCATGGTAGCCGATGACCAACAGCAGGTTCGTTCGCCATTCGTTCCATCAGGATACTGGAACCCATGTACACCATTGGTTTGGAATCAGGGTTTTCCAACTCCCCTAGGTGGACCCTCCGTGTCCACCAACCCGGTTAAAGCGCCGGACATTCGCTTTTCGTCCTCTCACTTTAGTAAACAACACCCCCGTCATGAGAAGGCAGTGAGTAGGACTTGTGTGGCAGAGGCTATATATTCGCTGGCCATGTGAGAGCATTTCGAGTGGGAGAGTGGACTCTCCTCACTCTCGGCCGTACCAGGGCATTTGGGGGCAGTAGACGTATCTATGTGCAAGTGCTTTCATCCGTGCTATCACTGTGTGTGCAGCATGCAAATCTGACATCACTTTAGGACGCAAGATCAAGGGTTATAACTATCCGATCTCTAAACATTGGGCACATGTCCACAAGTGATAAGGAATTCCGTCAATGAGCATAATATTCAATATTTTTGTTGTCTATATGAATAGGCCACCCATGCTCGAGATAACTAATAATCCGTTTCAGCTCGTCAGCTTCGTGAGTATAACATTTAATATCTTCATCAGATAATGGTGTTGCCTGTATAGCAACTTGTAGTATGTGGTGAATATCGTATTCCAACGATAATGTAATAATAGCATCTTAAATTTTCAGCTTCTGACTCGCGATTAGTCCAGATAAAGCATCAGCTTATCCTAACTTTCCTGTGGATTTATATAAAATTTGGAAAACGTAGGTTAATGTAATAGCCCAGAGTTATAATCTATTTGCTGTATCCTACTATATCAACACATATGCCAGAAATAAAATAAGGTATACAATAGCATCCAAATGTAGCAGAATACTTTTCCAAACGAAAAGTTTCAATTTCTAAAAGCAGTATCAAAAGCATAGATCAAGTCAACTGTCAACTCATTTCAACTTCTTAAAGTATACACACTTTCAAGAGACTTACGTTTCGACTGTACAGCAAGTGTCATTCGTTCAGAAGAATAAAAATTCTTTCGATGTTTATTCAAAAGTGAATAAATATCAGTACCATTTTGTTCCGGGATTTCACGCAGCGATTTACAATTGCCTGAAGACAAAAGAAGATAAGAAACAATCTCAAAGATAATTTACATACGACAAGCTTAAAACAAGGATTTTATTAAATAATTCACATTTGAAGGTATCGAACAGTGGAAAATGAACCATAAACACATAAAAAGTTGGCTAATAAAAGATGAACATACATACCATAACCGAACAGTTTGTAGGGAGAATCTTTACGAGACAAATGTCCAATTAAATAGTGAAGTCGTGAAGAATCCTTGGTGTATGCCAGTTCGAATTCTGTAAAAAAGAAAAAAAAACTGTATGAACAATACAATACGTAGTTTATGTACAAGCACATCAAACCGCGTCACACCATGAAATGAAAATAACTATACAAGATTAAGCCAAGAGTAGCTATGAGTGTAAGAATGTAACTAATAGATTGGGAATAACTTCAGAATAGTAAGTCGTATAACAGTATTCAATAGGTCAAATGAAAGTTAGTGATAAAAGGAATATGAATATACATATAACCTAGTTACTTAATAGTTGTCTAATAGGAACTTATGTAATAATAGTCGACAAATAATTTTTAGCAGATACCATTCAATTAATCTTCCTTCGGATATAACATGTTAAATAACTGGTTCGTCATGCTATGAGGCTCCTCGGTTATGCGCAAACACGATCACACATCCTGGATTGGACCCAGTATTTTCAGGTCTTGCAGTGAACGTCTGACAATAAGAACCACTGAGCTAGCATATAACGGTACAATTTCAATTTCGATCAATTTGGGACAAAAACGGCCATGCAATGCCATTGGTGACAATCGTTTCACTTTTGACACATCTGAACACCAGTCACACCACAATGGTCCCCTCGTTTTCAGCGATACAGATAAATCTATGATAAATGCAATCTACATATGGAACTAATCTCTATAAATCACCTTCAAGTGAATATCCCTTACTTTAGACACTTTAAATGTGTGAATTCAATTTGAGACAAAAGTACAAGAATGATCAAATAAGTGTTCATAAAGCAATTATACAGAAGTTGATTCGCTTATATATGTATACAAACAAATCTTATCAGAACTATATATACCCAAGGGGTACTTTACTTACCACTATTAACAGCATTTATCTCACGATCTGTGCTATCTTTGCTTAAAAGTGGTGAAATGAAGAAGTTGGCAAATTTATCGAGACAACTAGCAAAATGTTTACGTTTCACATCGAAATGGAATAAAGTGTATTCATTCCCTGTCCAAGCATTATTAGTTCCACCCCGCTGACTAAGGTATGCATCAAAATCATTCTCTGTTGGATATTTTAAACTACCCATAAATACCACTGTTAAGAAAATAAAGATCAATATATGTGTGTTATTAATAAATGTTAATTTGTATCAAATAGTATGTTGTATTTTATGAAGGAAATTAACAAATTAATTCCTAAATTCACCTTATAATACAAATGCTACGATCGTCTACCATGGATACGCTTTACTGGAATCAAAACAGTATACTCCTGACAGACTTATATAGAGAAACATTTGGTAATCTTTTGTAAATGTAAGCTATCAACAGCTGGGCACGTGATAAGCCGAGAAATTACACTGTTATGTAATAGACTATAATATTATCTAAACTGATATACACAATAATCACTGTTAAACAATGACAAAAAAACAAGTTCTTATATGGTTAATCTTTCAGATATCTAGTTTGAGTCAATTACTTTCTTGGACTGACACTGGGTGGTAATGATTCAAGAAGTCAAAAAATATGAGGAATCGGTACTGATTATAAGTATAAACTATACATAGAAGTACACAAAATTTCCAACAGTATCAACTCAATGAAACTTACTATGCTCCAAAAAATGTGATAAGCCCTGAGCTTCTATTGGATCTGAGAAACTTCCCACTTTAATACACAACGCAGCAGCAGACTGAGGAATTCAAAATACAACATATTACAAATTAGGCTACAAAAATAGTGAGCACTTTCAACACCCAGATTAGAATGTAGCTGACCTGAATAACAATAAAAGGGTTTCAGTATTAAGTGGCTAAAGTAAGTATGATTGATGCAGTTTGTTTGATAACGGTTTTTATTATGAAGAAAACTATTGGCACAGTCATATATACCGCTTTAATAATTAGAATGCGGAATTATCAAACACACGACTGACTGTCACTAAAGCTCTTTTGATTCTTGGAAAATTTATCAAAACAATAAACTAACTACCTTTAACTATTCAAAAGGTTTCATCGTGTACAAAAAGGCAGATAGCATAAAGATGCCTTGACACCAAGTTACAATGATTGCTTTCCCACAAGGGAGCTAGAAGAAATAAGTGAAATCACTGGTTTTTGAGGTACGAGAATTAAGATACTCTAAGAGAATCCAAACCAAGCAACGTTGAAATTATGCCGAGTGTCAGTGAAGCTTTTCCTGGAAAGAAATCCATATCACAACTGGATCATTAGTTCCCCGGTGATGGAACTAATGTTTACTGCTGACGGATGTTGGCCATGGATTATCACTTTAAAGATCCTGCAGTTATTCTTATTTTTGAAATATAAAATTGGGATACTGAATCAAACTATCATTCTGTCAGTTTAGGAGTTACGATTAGAGATAAACGAATCAGTCAAGTAGGAGTTTTGTCCTGTTTGTGATTTAAGGTTTGGGCTAGATACTAACAAATCCACTGAGGTGGTGTATACTGACCTTTGAAGAGGTCTTGATGTCTAATATTGGACCATACGTAAAGCTAAATTTGAACACATTACATATCTTTGCTTAAATCAAGTATTTCCTGCGTAATAGGATAGAAATTTGTGGTAGACATAACACTTTTACGTGGGAAACCCATTAAAGACAGTGAATCCTAACAAATTAAGCAATGTCATTTACTTTTTTGTTTTGTATCAACTAATGACCAGAAATTCAAATAATTACTCCTTTTATTTTCAGATATTGTTGACGAATAAAGAATAATACGCAGTGACAATTATGAAATATAAATTAGCTTAAGAACTCTGGTTAGATGGTCTGAACATTACATCTTAGAAACTAATCCCAGTAGAAGCGTATCAGGACACTTATCACAGCTACTGTCAGTCTTTTAATAAGTAGTGGTTTTATATTAACGTTTTAAATCATAGACAGTGACTTGTTTTATACGACTGATCGACGTAGTAGAAATTCAATTAACGTTAACGATTAGAACATTATGGTGGGACATTTAGTTTCTAATCCAGACGTTCATACTCGTTGCAGTTTAACAAGAGAGACCTGACCCACAATTCTTACCTTTGAGGATATCATGGTGAATTATTTCCAAATGCTATCGACAAATTATCCCGAGAGGCTTTCACTACGCATTATTCGCTAAACTTGGTGAAAATATGATCAAGCTACATAACGCTGCTAATTAGGTCATTATGTTGTGTTTGAATTTGTTGTGACAAGAAACTCCGAATATTAATTCTGAAAATTTTGCAATTCAACTGTTTAAAATCTCATTAAACATGGCTTATAATATTAGCTAATAAACCATGGTCTTACGTTCTGTCATTATTAATAAGGATATAGCTATGTGAAGCAATTTCTAGTAACCTACGACACAATGTACTCTCCACATTAAAATATTTCCTATTTTGGCTGTAAACTCAAAAACTAAAGTCTCTTGAGGATACCGTTTAACATGGTAGGTAAGAAAGCATAGTTTTTTCACATTCGCAAAACAACGGGAAATATATAATTAAATCTTGCCTTCGCCTCCTGATCGCCAATAGCGTTTTCTTCAATATCAACATCTTCGTCTTCCAAGCTTTCTGAACTATTACTTTCAAGATCTGAATCAGGCAAGGAGTCATCGGGTGCTTCCTCCCCAGGCTTTAGGTTGGACACTAATATGGCCCTCAGGCCATTGTCCAACTCGATATACCTTTGTCGGCTGTCAAATCACATCATCGAACTTACCTGTAACTGCGGTAATCTATCCGACTTTTCTCCAACTCGGCAAAGCCGTCACAATTCATACTCAGCGCTCTATAGTGCCAACTAATTGGAGCGCCACGAGGATCTCAACATTTCCGACCTTCAAAAAGGATAATTTTTTCTTTCGCTACGTTGTAACAAATGTTTTCGTGTCGTCTGCCGTTGGAGAAAGTTGGTAAAAGCTAAGAAAATACTACCTGTCTTCAAATGAGAGTAGTACATTTCACTATTTAAAAAGGACAGTAGTATTGTCTCTCGTCGAGTCAAGTTTACTGTTTTGATAGTAAATTACTCATCAAAACTACTGTTTACACTTTGATTGAAATTATTTCAGTTAAAGCGATATTTTACTTCTCTGTTTTGATTTTGCTTTTGTGTATTTATTACATCAAAGCATACTTCGTCAATTTTGACTTGCTTTATTTAGCTAAAAAATGAAATTTTTTACATATACATTTTGTGTTACCATTTTTAGTTCATTTTCAAGACGGCCGGATCAGATATCAGCCATATAGCTCATCCCCTGTGAAAGAAAGAATGCATTGTGATGATTGTAAGTAGTTCCATAAGATGCGCACCCGTTAAATTCCCACTGCCCCTAAAAGGTGCTTAAAGCCTAACTCTCATCGGCTATGTAGGTTTTATTGTTCGAGCGAAACATTACTCATCCAAGAAACAATTATCTTTCTGGCTTTGACTAGAAGAGAGGTTGATGAGGGCTGTATCGGTAATATGGGTACTGATAGGTAGGAATGCGTAAGTGACATAAGTGCAGTCATGGCACGTGCCATACACCAAACTGTGCAACACGCAATAGACCTTTCTATGCTAAATCAATTAACGGGCGATACACCATTAGATAATGGTGGTCAATTTTCCACAGTAGGCACTGATGATCTTAACAAAACCATAATCGTCTCAAGTAGTTCTAATGTGGATACTGCGACTGATGGGAAACGGACGACGCGGAAACGTAGAAGAAAAAGAAAGATAGCCAGAGAAAGCTGCCGTTTAGTTTAAAACTTCTTGGTGAACTCGCATTCTGCGTTACAGATCACCCTGACAAAGTCCGAAAGTAAAACAATATTTAATCCTATCGTAGATCGGAAAAGTTTGTCGTCAGCAAACATTGTTGTGAGTCACTCACTCGATTCTCAAGGCTCTGTTACAAAAAACAAAGGTAAGATACCAGCAGTTGACAGGCAGGATCTGACATTACGGTTGAAAGCCGTGAACACGGCATTCAAAGATGTTGAACCCGTTCCTAATTTAATTATTTGGAGACTAGAGGAGTCGAAAGACAGTGACCCTGCTAAAAGACACGCACACGATCTGCAGTCAGTGGAATCTGTCATCAGAAATGTACTGCCTGCAGATATTTCAGGAGTACGTATCTCGAAGGTAAAAAGACTCGGTTAATAGGGTGGAGGTGAGATCCAACCAATAAGGATCTTGAAGTCGGTACTCGAGAGTTTTGAAGAAAGAGACGTAATATTGAATAACACACACAAAGTTCTTGATTCAAATATTCATATCTGACCAGATTGGCTGCTTGAGGATCGAATCAAGTGGAAAAATGCTCTTACGGATTTATGAACTCGGAGGCTATATGGTGAAACGAACCTTACAATCAAAGGTTTTCGGGTGGTCAGCTCTTGGAAGTCAATGATTTCGAGACCTGTATGGGTAGGACAAATGATTCCTAAAATCACCTTAAATGTGTGCGACACGAACGCTCATAGTCTTTAAAATAAAATGTCCGAGCAAGTTTGATGGTGGATGAATTGGGTCCCGATATAATAGTCATCACATAAACTTGGCTCACCGCAGATATAGACTGCTCTCCCGTCATTGCAGGCTACATCTGTATTAGAATTGGTAGATATATAAATCTCAAGGTGGAAGCATAATATATGACCAATCATTGCTGGAACTTGTCCTCACACACCACTGGGAAGATTTCATCCACATTCAGCACCTTCCCCCCTAGTGGATAATTATCACGTTGTACTTCAACTTAAGATTTGGACACATGGTATACAGTTTGGATCCGCTCCACCTCGTTCCACTATCTGAAGATATACTCCGGCAATCAGAGACTGTGCTATCTCGGCTGACTGGTTGATCTATGCTGATGGATCGATCGAAGACGAATGGAATAATTTTAAGGCTACATTCACTTCTGTCACATTACCATTATACCATGGTCAACACGCAAGCTATTGCATTGCCCTCCATAGATTAATGAGGAAACCTGGAAGTTGAAGCGTAGAAAACACTTCTTGAACTTATTCTTGCCAAAAGGAGAGGCATCATTTAAGTGTGAATATAAAGAAATCCAGAATATTTGTATAAAGATCATAGCTAAATCCCATAATATTTACAAACAACATTTGGGATATAATAGCCTTACTTGTCCGAAACGATTGTTTTCGTACGTTAAACGGCGAGAAAAACCAAGTGATGGTATTCTCCCGTTGGTGTAGCACGAAAATTCAGATTTACTAGCTCAAGCAGATCGGGCAAAACATGAGAGTTTTTCAAACTATTTTAGTGAAGTCTACTCCACGTGTATTTTTGCAAGTACTTGTTCCAATCACGCCGAGATACCAACCATGCGATCTGTACATATGACTGAGGAAACTGTTCTTCCATTCATAACTAACCTCTAACCTTGTAAGGTACCGGGCCCTGAAGGGTTACATTCAGGTTTGCTGTTATCGCTTGCGGGCATTATTTCAAGACATCTCGCAACGCTCTTCAACATGTTCCTTTTACCCGCTCAACTTCCCTAGAGATTGGAAAGAGGCTCTGTAAAAACCAAACTGGGGTCTGGCTGAAAAATAACTGTCTCGGTGACTAGGGATACCTTATTACCCCTTTGAAATCAGAACAAGGTGATTGTGGAAATAACGGTTTCAAATTTCATCATAAATACAAATGTAAAATTTTACCTAAACAAATATTATCACTCAGTTATTCAATCAATAATTGTTTTCTCAATAATCTATCTAAGTTACAATATATAGCAAAGTGATAAGAAATATAGGAAAATTACCGAACGCACCAAAAATAAGTGTTATTCTATCTTTTTTGGATAGACTAAGTAAAAATCCGTTCAAAAGATAACAGTTTGCTGCTTTATAACACAAAGTGTTTACAATTCTGGAAAAGTACTTCAATTCAAAACCAAAATGCACGATCCCAGTCAACTCAAGCAAAACTATCAATAGGCTGCCGCCAAGATTAAAAATCAACTAAAACAACATAAATGCTGTCCAGGAAGTAACATAGAAACTTGATGAAAGCGAAAGAAAAATGAGAAAACTATTATAAAACGAAACATTACAATCTCAAGTGACATCAGAAAGACCAACAAAATGTATAACTAAAGAAACCAATGAGAAAAAGCTGCAGATGTATGCATGAAGGGATTTTCACACACAAAACCTTCGAAATGGATCTTACACTCTCTAATCAGTCCTATATCTAAGGATGGTCGGAGACCCATCGTATCTAACTACCAGCCTGTCAGCCTAACCAGCACAGTCGTTAAGCTACTTAAAAAGATAATCCGTGTTAATTGACTAGGTCACAGGAATTCGTAGTCTGTTAACTAAAGAGTAACACGGGTTTCGAAACAAGCATTTTTGCTTGACTAACATACTTATTGCGAGAGAGGATTGTACAAAAGCTCTGGAGAATGGTCTGCCTGCCAATTTGATATCCATAGACTTCAGCAAAGCGTTTGACAATGTTTCGCACTTAAGTATTACGCAGAAGCTCTCGAGCTTCGGAATAACAGGTGCCCCACATGACTGAGTAGGAAACTCCTCGTGTGACCGCAGACAGAGTGAGGGTTAATGGAAAGTTACCCTAATGGAAACCGATCAAAAGTTGTGTACCCCAAAAAGCCATCTTAGGTCCCCTACTTTTTTTCTCTACGGACAGAACAACACTATGAAGGCTTATTCGACACTACGGAGTACTTGGAAGGATAGTCAATATCATATGGAATTCCCATGATGGATTAAACTGCTAAATTGTTCATGAAGGACAACTCACTGACTCGGTGTCAGACAAGGTTGTTTACTCTCACCCTATCTATTTCTCCCGTTGATCGATTGGATCATGAAGATGTCAACATCTTGAGGGAAGAATGGGATACAGTGGACAGCTAGGATGCAACTGGAAGATCTAGACTTAGCAGATGTTCTGGTTCTTCTATCACACACGCAACAACGAATGCAGGAGAAGACGACCAGTTTAGCAGTAACCTCAACAGCAGTAGGTCTCTATATACACAAAGGGAATAGCAAGATTGTCCGATACAACACAGTATGCATCAATCGAATTACACTTCACGGAGAAGCTTTGGAAGATGTGAAAACCTTTACATATCTGGGCAGCATCATCGATGAACACGGTGGATCTAATGCAGATGTGAGGGCGCGGATCGGCAAAGCAAGAGTGGTATATTTACAACTGAAGAACATTTGGAACTCAAAATAATTGTCTGTTAACCAACGACAAGATCAGAATTTTCAATACAAATGTCAAGACAGTTCTACTGTATGGGGTGGAAACCTGAACAACTACGAAAAACATCATCCAGAAGATGTAGGTGTTTATTAACAGTTATCTACGCAAGATACTTCGGATCCATTGGCCAGAGACTGTCCGCAACAACCTACTGTGGAAGGGAACAAACCAGATTACAGCAGAGGAAGAAGTGCTGGAAGTGGATAAGAAACACTGAGGAGAGCACCCAATTGCGCCATAAGGCAAGCCCTGAAGGTCGAAGGAAAAGAGAGACCAAAGAACATGTTAAATCCACTGGACATTGCAGAAACACGCACAGACCTTCCTATAGATGTCACTTCACCAATAATCAAAAAAATTCAGGATGACCATCAGACAACACAGGAGTGGGGAAACAGCAAGACCTGACAATTTACCGGCTGAAGCATTGAAGTCAAACACTAAGGAGACTGCGAAGATACTTCACGATCTGCTAATGAAAATTTGGGGGGAGGAACAAGTGCCGACGGACTGGAAGGACGATTATTTCACCAAGATACCAAAGAAAGGAGATCTGAGCAAGCGTGAGAACTACAGAGGCATCACATTACTATCGGTGCTAGGAGAATTTACCAACAGAATCCTGTTAACCGGATGAAAAAATC